AGAAAATACATAAGAAGGATCCGGATAAATTCACCATGCAGTTTTAGGAAGCTAAGATATGGAAAATTGAGTAGCTGCAGCTAATAATAGTAAGGGTTATAATTTTTTTTTTGTGGTAGGATAGTAATAAATTAAAACATGTGTAGAAAATAGAGTAAGCTGTATCATCGCTAATACTGCTTCGATTCCGATGATTGTTTTTTCCTTTTGTTGGTAATTTAATTCCCTTTCAAAAGTTTTATTATAAAATTTATAAAATTGTCTATTGTATATACTTTTGATTATTATTTTGTTCTATTTATTTTATTTTTTTGTACATATGGTGTGAATGTCATCCTACCTCACTATAACCAATGTCCAACAGACAGATTGTTATAATACTCAATAAAGAAATTTAAAAAAAAAAATAAAATTTACCATAGAATATATACTTAGCGAGTTAGGTCCCAAATCATTTTACTTTTCTTTATAACTTTTTTTCCTGAATTTTCTCGGGAATTTAGTCCACGTACGAAAATTGAAAGGACAATTATTAGAAAATTATAAAAAAGTTTCATTAAAATCGTTGGAGCCGTTTTCGCGCTACAGTCTATAGATAAACATGTTTTTCATTTACTGCGCAGCAGCTATTGCGCATCAAGTACCCAATTTGTGTCACAAGCATCAGTAAGCAAAACCTTACAAATTGAAAAAAATAAGCAACAAAATCGGTTCACTAGTTCCCGAGAAAATCTTGGCACAGACAGACAGATGGCTAAAAATGTGTTTTTCGAACTTAAGGGGGCTCTGAAACGTATAGATCCATTCGAAAACCCCATATTGGAAATTTGACCCGATCGCAATACTTTTCTTACCTAGTACAGTTAGGAATGTAAAAATACCAATGAGCCCGATTCCTTTAAATTTCAACCTCGATGCACCCTCAATAACAATATATTATCGATTTTAATTAATAACATTAGTTTGATGTAGGTAATCACCTGCAATGGTGGGTAAAGACACAAAAATTAAATACCCCCAATGATTAGATTCGGCAATGTCATATATATTAGTCTCGTTGTTGATTGCTTGAACATCAGAATAAGATAAGTTCTCACCGTAGTCTTCGTATTCAATCATTCCCCTCATGATTGATGAGACTTAAGTAACGCTTAGGTTATTTTTAGCTTTTCCTTAAATTAAAGCTTTACATGTGACAAGCACCTCGACGATCCCATATGGCAATGTTAAGTAGAATAATGCATACCTCCGTGTAATGAAATAAAACTTATGAAAATTATTTACAAGATTGGAAATAGCCACAACTTACTAAAAATATTTGCACTCGCGAGGCGAAATCTCATTTCAAGAAAATTAATAAAGCTAAAAGCACCTTTATGTGTAAGTGTTTTTTATTAATTATAAAATTGTTGAAATTGTTGGAAATGATTAAAAATTGTTATCTTATTTCCTTATCGGTAAAAGCACTCGTAATTTTACGTAACCGTAGATATTTTGAACTCTAATAGAAGTGTCTTAATTCGTCAAAAAGAATAGGAAAAATATTTTATAAATGTGTACCAGAAAACGACTGTGGACCGCACGTGTTTTCCAACTTTTTTAGTTGTATCTTTCAGGAAAATAATAGACTATATCGAAGGTGTTAATTTTAAGAACTAATATTACTTAATAATGAAAGAATAAAGTACCAAAATTAGCGCTGATTCTATCAATGGATTCCATCAATAGATTGAATCCAATAGAGATGTACAACGATTTATGCTGATTTTAGTTACGATGTGATCGGTTCTGAGTTAAAACTCCTAAAATGTTACTAAACAAGTGAAATTTTTAAAAAATATATAACTAATTACATATATATATGTATATATGCAGGGGAGAGGGGAGGGGAGAGGGCTTTATGCTGAATCTCTTGAAGTATTCTTGTTCGTGTAATTACATTTAATAGGACTTCAAGAACCACTTTAACACCATTTCATATTGGTAATTAATTTATTTCTTTTATTTTTCAAATTTATTGCCTTTATATATAATATTACAATGTTTTTTTTATAATTCGACCTTTATATATTATAACTAATTAGTAGGCCTTGGATTTTAATGGTTTATCCTTTTTTTTTTCTGTTTAAAGGAAAACAAAGTTCTCAACAGATCTAAACGGACCTTGAGTAGTAGATTTGAAATACAAAATTCTATAGGATATTTTTGACTTTTTGCCCAGTTTTTTAAACTGGTTTCAGTTTTTTTTGGAAATTTTGCACAAAATAAAATCTATTCTGGGGTCTTTATTCCTTGCTTGATTTAATTGGATATATTCTTACGGAGTAATAAAAAAAGTAAATTATTCGTTATCGATTCTATAGAAAATGAAAAAAATTCGATCATATTTTTATTATAAGATATGAATTATAGTCGGATAATTTTTTTTTTCTTCTTTGCCCGCTGTACTTCCCGACATGTTATTATCCGACTATAATTATATCTTAATTTATATATATATAAAATATATATTTATATATATGGAAAAAAAAGCTTTCGGGCTGAAGTTGCCTCAAAATTAAATCCTGGATCCGTTAGTGTGTATACATATACACTAGCGGATCCAGGATTTAATTTTGGGGGGGGGGGGAGGGCTTCAGCCCGAAACCTTCTTTTTTCATAAAAATAACGATAATTACTTTGGAAAAACAGAAAGAAACTAACTACCTATATGAAATGGTGTTTAAGTGATTCCTTAAGTCCTTTTAAATGTAATTACACGAACAATAATACTTTAAGAGGTATTTTTTAAATTTTTTTTTCCATAAAACATGGTTGTATTTTTCCATTTTGGGGGGGGCTTCAGCCCGAAAGTCCCCCCCGTAGATCCGCCCGTGCATATATATATACTAAATATATATCTACCTACTAAATATTTGACAAATTTCTAGAAAATATCTCAGAATTCAGCCAAATCCGTATTATTTCTAAAGTAAACTTTAGCATTATTAATGTTCCTTTTGTTAAATAAAAATATGATGGAATTTTTCATTTAATATAGAATTGATAATGAATAATTTACTCCTTTATGACTCTGTAAGAATATATTCAATTAAATCAAGCATGGAATGAAGACCCCAGAATAGATTTTATAGATTTTAATTGTAGATTTATTATAAATTTTATTATTGATTTATTGACCCCAGAAAAACTGCAAAAAATATCCTATAGAATTTTGTATTTCAAATCTACTAGTCAAGATTCGTATAGATCTGTTGAGAACATTGTTTTCCTTTAAACAGAAAGAAAAAAAAAAAAGGATAAATCATTAAAATCCAAGGCCTACTAATTATACAAGCTTGATAATAGTACATGAGCAACCTAACTTTACAAAATTGTTAATGCCAATATTCAGTGAATTATTCAGAATAATATGTATTTATTAGCGTCCCATTTTCTAAAACTAGAAAGATCGTAGATCAGAGGTTTTTTTTTCTTGAATCTGTTCGACAAGACCCATGATAGAGAAGATTAATTAAATTTGTAATTAACTATTAATAGCTGCAGGTGCAGCATCCTAAAGCTGCATGGTGAATTTATCGGGATCTTCATATGCAGTTTTTCTTTCACTTACCTATATATGTAATATACATTAAGGGTAAGTATTGCGATCGTGAAAATTTTCGAATCTGAGTTTTCAACGGAAATACGCGTTTTGAGGTCCCACTGAGTCCAAATAACCAAGTCCCGCAAAATGGTCTGTATGTGTTAACAATCTAGCTCAAAAACGAAAAGTTGTACGGAAGTGAAATTTCATATTTAAGGTTTTTATATGCTAGGGATGTTACAGCAACTTTTTCGTCAAAATTGGCAAACCGAAAGTGGTACATAATGCACTAAACACATTTTTACGATTATCTCGAAAACCGCTCTAACGATTTTGATTAAATTCATCATATCAGTATAAAATTAAGCAGTTTTAAATAAAATGTAGTTATTATTCTTATTGATGTTATCTGACAGAGCTTAAATGGCTAATTTTCAATATTAGCTTCCTCTAAAGTACCTTTAATTTTTTTTATTTGAAAAAATTGACCACTTCGCATTGATCTCTAATATATAAGATACTTAAATATAACATATGAAAGAATTTGATAATTAACTAACAGAGAAATAAGAGATCGTAACGGAGAATAGTTGTAATTGAGAAACCAAAGGAATACGAGCGCACCCGAGCTCGCCCGAAAGATTACAAAACGCTTCCATACGTATCATGAGATTAATACAACATGGACTCCGAAAATATTATATAAATGTACATATGTGGTTCTGATATATGCTATTGTTGGTATTATTTAATATTTAATTGTATAGATTACAGCGATATAAATATTAAAATTTGTATATGTGAGGGAATTTGTATATGCAAATAAAAGTACACACAATGAAATATAAATAAATATAGAGTCTATAAGTTTTACTTTCACTTCGCTTTGTCTGAAAATATTTATTTCGGCAAGAAGAGGGTGGTAAGTGAACGTTGTGTGATGCGCGCACCGCACCACATTTTTTGCATTGATTTAATCGTAAGATGTAAATCTGTTTCTTAATTTATAATACGCAGTTATAAGTTGTAAGATGTGTGTGTTAATGTAACATCTATTTACACAGCGATTTTCTATATTTGATATCTATATTAAATGAGAACGCTACTGTTAGTATAAAAGGTCGTAAGTGAAAATTGAGTTGTTTTTTCAAGAGAGCAAAAAAACCTATTATTTTTTTATTTATTAGTAAAATTTCATAATTTATTTCCCTGTATGTTATTTTCTATAGTAACAGACTACTGACATATAACAGTTGCAGACATAAAAATATCACCTTTAGCACAAATATAACAAACGTTATACTTGTTACATACGAACTTTTGGACTAACATTAGCGATATGAAAAGTTTTTACTTTTTTTTATTGAGCCATTTCCGATTTTTAAGAATCGAGTCTTCAAAAGATTGCTGCAGTCTATTCTTCATATTCAGTAGTGCATATTTTCCAATAGTCGATGACGTTTAGTAAACAATAAAGAGAAACGAATATTATTAAAACACCTAAAAAAACAATACAAAAATTATAACAAATCTATATTTTCAAATTAACAATAATAATTCAATTAATGGAGATAAGCACAATTAAGTTTATTTCTCTAAAGTGCTCTGAAGTTATTTAATATTGATTCAAATTATTCAACTTAACTTACGACAACCAGTAATAAAATAAAATATCACTTATAACAAAACAAAATAAAAATTTGTAAAAAAAGAGATTCTTCTGGCGAACAATTTCTAAACACATTATTTAGAAGATGATTAAAAAAATTAAAAACATCTTTTAATATTATTCATGGGTTGAAACGTTTATAGGTTCGGTTTCTACGAGACTTTTTAGGAAAAAAAAAAGTCCATTTTAACAGTTTCTACGAGATGTTTTGGTTAAAAAATTACAATTTTAACAGTTTGTGTGAAACATTTTAGAAAAAAAATATTTTAATAAAAATTGTATGGAACTTTGTAATATAGTTAAAGGTTTATGGTAAAAGTTTAACTTGTATTTATTAAAGTTCTTGATAAAAGTTCAGTTTAACGGAAAATAAACAGCAATTGAGCTTAAATTAAACTTATTATTTATCTTAAATGAATTGCACATGATTCTAATGTGTCGTTTGTTTAAGAAATTATGGATAATGGCATTTTTAGTTCGACTTTTTAACGAAACCGACAGAACTTTTAGTAGAAAAGCTTTTTAAAATAAAAATTCTGTAAAACCTTTACTTTAAAAGTTGCTAGGAACAAAGTTCTAGTTCTAAAAGAGCTGGAAAACTATCTACAATAAAAATTTCGATGATACCGAAAAAAAAAAGAGCTGGAACTTATTAAATATTGTTCATTGCTAGGGGAGTAGGAGAAAGACAGAAAACTATTTTTTTTTTTTAAATATCTGAAAAACTATGGAGTTTGTCGAAATGATTATTCTATACAAAGTTAAAGTACTAATATTCAAAGCAGACCATAATATTTATAAATATTTTTATAATTTCAATGTTTACGGAGATATTTACAGGAATTAATTTAATCGATCCACTAATAAAAATGTTGAGGGAGCGAGAATATCATTTCGCCATTCCAATAATTTGAGGTAAAAATAAAATCAATAATAAATAAGCTATATGAATGAATAAACGTTGTAAACTAAAATCGATTGAGAAAAGTCGACTGGCTAGGCTAGGACATAGTAATAAGTGTTTAACTATTTTATTGATACCTAAATATTACTTTTATTTAAACCGTAATTTATATTCAAAGATAATAATATATATTAACATATCCTTGGATTTTATGATTCAATCACCCCTCAATTTTCACGTGACCTTCTCATCACATATTTCGCGAGAAACTAGTCAGACTCTGAAAAACTTATTTTTATTTGAGATTGTACACACTAAAAAAATGAAAGATATTTTTCACTTTTTTACACTTTTCATTTTTAGCTGAAAAGATTCTAGAAATGTGCCAATATTATGAAGGCTGTCTCTCCTCTCCTCTGTGTTTAATCTAAACAAAAACGTTATAAACCCAATGTTACTTTTATTTAGATATTTTCCAGTACATATGTATATATTATAAGTAAAACAAAAAATAAAAAATACTTACATTTTTACAAACATTTTATATGAGAGAATCACTTTATTATCATAAAAGGGTGCTGCCAATTACATTGGGTTGCTTTAAATACAGCATACTTATTAATCGCTACAGACAATTTTCCAAAACTAATATACAATTATATAGTATTAACAATATGTATGAGCATAATATACAATTTTTTTTTTATCTGTATATATTTTTTTTATCATAATTTTTTTCCTATATTTTTATTTATTTATTTTATTTTTAATTTTTTTTTTCATTCATTTATTAGCATTATACATCCCTTTCTGTTCCTTCTCTCACCTTATACATTTTTCTCATTCCCTAGATTTTCTCCTCTCTTTTCCTAACCTAATTCATAACATGCATACAAATACATAAAGTGCAGGGAACGTGGTCAATAAATAATGTAAAAATGCTGTAAAACACACATGCCTCCCCCCATGAACAAACTCTCTCTCTATCCATGCATATGGTGATGGATAATTCCCAGGGAGTCGAGGATTATATTCTCAGCCAACCTTGCCACGTCCTTTATGTCGACACCAAGGCCCTCCATGAAGCTCCTAGTCGAGTTCTGTATCGTCCCGCGAGCTCCGAACCAAAGGTCTCTCACGTGGAAAAATATTGTAAAGTCTATCAAAATGTACTGGAAACGTATAATAGAATAAATAGTTAAAACAAAGAAAAGGAATGAAAGGAAGGAGGAAAAAAAATTCTATTCTACCCACTTCATTTTACTTTAATAAATTTTTTTACCTACATTATGTATGTTTCTCATACCTTGATATCTAGTTCTTTTCTTAGCCCTGATGAAGGCCTGAACTTCAGGTCGAAACGTCGGCAATTGTTAAAATAGATATTATTATTTATTTTTGCCTTCTTATTTCTGACTTATTAAACAAATTAATTTTAAATATTCAATATTATATTTATTCGTTTCACAATAATTAGGTATATTGAATTATTTATAAACATAATAAAAACTCCCGACATTTTTATTTTTGTCCATCGCCCCCACCCTCCAATCAAAATCGCGCATATGACGCTACATGTCTTGAAACGTAAAAGCTAAATTCAGAGGTGTAACTTTTTTTTTCTTGTTCGATAAGAAAGTTTGAGTATTGAGAGTAATAAACCAAATATGTATGTAATTTAATTTCAGTAAAATTATTCACTGAAAAAGAGAGATAGAAAAAAAAAAGTGATTATTTCCTCATGGTAAAACAATCAGGAATGATTAGAAACAAAATATAAATTATTGCGTTTTAATCGAATAACCATTGATCAATTCAAGGCCGGAACTTGAGTGAGGGAGGAGGCTGGCTAATGGAGGAGTTGCGTCTATCGATACAATTTATATGACGCAAATTAAAAGAGAAATTTTACTATGAGGTTAAATAAAAAATATATGAATCATTTATTTCCAAAGTGAAATGTTTTTACATATGGATTTAAATATCTCAGAAACTAAATATCGAATCTGCATACTGTAAGCGAGAGAATTGTTAAGCATTTCCCTCTCTCTGTAATGGGCCATTATTCAAAATTGTATCTTAACGCGACGCCGTGTTAGGGAGACGAAAAGGAAAAAATTATGTCGAAAACCAAATCATAACGAGTTTTATTGAAGATATGGATTAAAATATCATAGAAAATGAAAATCGGACCTACTTTACTGTAAGCGATGGAAATGTTCAGCAATTCATCCTCTTTATAATGAGCTCTTATTTATAATATTTATTTCATATAATTATACCCCACCAGAGAAGGGGTAACCTGGAGAAGGCGCTCCAATGTGAAGCTAACAAATTTATTTCATCACCCCAGATGTCGTTAAGGTGATAAAGCTAGGTAGGCAACACTAGGCAGGACATGTGGCCAGAATGACAGATACAAAAATATTCAGAAGAGTGGTGGTGGAAAACGTGCAGCGTACAACTAGATTAGGACGCCATCGTTGGATGGGGTATGGAGTAAATGAGGACTCCAGAAATATGTTAAATTACCGGAACTGGAGGGCTGTCTAACTGGACAGGGAGGACTGGAGGAAACGGATCAAGGAGCACAAGACTCATTGATAGGCTGTAGTGCCTGGAAAGAAGTAGAAGATATATATATATAATGATAATACTATAGCAAAATTTTAGCTGAAAGTGAAATTTTAGTCCTTGCAAAAACGAAATTTCTGGCTCTAAATCGAGTCACAGCTAAACCCCAGCCATTCCATGTCAAGATCTGAACCTTACCATCTCAGATTTTTTTAAAATTCCGCACAGTTGTGCTATTTATAGAGGCGTTGAAAAACATAAAATTTTATTGACATAAGTCAAATCGTCTTTAAATATCACAGTTGAAGAGAAGTTATAAATAGATTCAAAAACAGAAAAAGTAAGATAAAAATTTCTGTAGTATCCTTCCTAATTTAATTATGCAATATTTATAGTTTTATGAAAACAGGACAGGGGATAAGGCTTCAATTAGTAAGTCCGAAGTTACTTTTATTATATCAAGTAACAGAATTTATTTATCACGGCAGACAGCAGAATGTGGCCCATTAGTCTCTACAAATTCTTAAAAATACTTCAAATATTAATTGGAGCCTTATTTATGTTTGTATTTAGGAAAAATGTGCCGAATTTCAATCTCAGATGGTGAGGTTCATACCTTGTGTTGGATTGACAAAGAATGATATAGTTAGGAGTTCAATATATTTAAATCCATATTAAGTGCGGTACTAGATATTGGTTGCAAAAATGGAATAAATACATCAAGCTGCATTATTCTGGGGTCATTTCAAACCTTTTTTTTTTGTTCTTCTCTACCTCGCCTTTTAGGCTATACTGGGTTTTCCCGGTTCAGAGGGCGGGGGGTTTAAAATACCCTCCGGCTCCGGGACGCGAACTCGTACTTTTTAATCTCTCACAACTTAGGTTATCTGGTTGCCGGGCAACTTTCGGAGCTGTGCACACGCGTTAGCCCATTTGGCCACCCTGTCCCCATGGGACATTTCAAACTATACGTGCGTTGAAGGTAAAAGTCAATTGCAGAAAGTATGAGCAATTTTCTCTCTTCAGAAGGGGTACCCATCTCCTCCCACAAGATCCATGGCGCATGAACTCCCCTCCCACGAAATTTTATTGCACTTCTCTTCTTAAAACAGTACAAGCGAAAGTATTATTTGAAAAACTGTAGATCATATACAACTACACTAAATGAAGAGAAGAATAGTTGGGGTGATCAGTCAAATAAGAAGGCAAAAATAAATGATAATATTTATTTTTACATATGCCGACGTTTCGACCTGAAGTTCAGGCCTTCATCACGGCTGTCACAGTAAATCACACTGAATGTTAACTCGTCATTGTTTTCTCGTTTGAAACGTTTCACTCCGAAAATTCACAACCTCGTCAAAATTTGCCCCCTCAGAAAATAAAAATTCAGTCAAAATGAGCCCCCTCAAAAATTTTAATGGCGCAATTTGCGCTATGAAACTCCCTTCTGGTAACTCCTATATCTCTCTCTCCTAAAAACTTAACCAGATTGCATTTTTGATGTCTACAGTCCAATTAGAGAGTATTTATTTATAATTAGTATTTTATATCTAATAAAATATGGATAAATAATCACCAATACAAATGGGAAGTGTTACATATAGCAACTGTGTAAATTGGTACTCTTCAATAACATCGTATATTGTGTGATTGGTTTCAAGAGAAGCATTAGACGAAACATTAAACCCGTAGTCTACGTGTTCAAGATCCACTTCATACATATTTGTATTATTTTTTATCTTTCAAAATCTTACTCATTTACTGTATAGTTCATAGACAGATGAGTTTTCAGTTCCTGGCGCATTTTTATTTTTATTTATTTGTTTTGCGCAATCTTAGTATCCAGTCGTATGACAGAGTCATATGATATAACTGTATTAAAATATTTTGAAAAAAAAAAAACCGTTCCGTTTAACGCTTTCCCAATTTAACGCGTCACGAAATAAAAGTAACACCTCATGATGTAACTATAATAATTCTACAAACGGTTTAAAAAAACAACTGATTTATTAGTTATTATTCACAAAATTAAATGAGTTTGACATTTAGAACAAAATAAAACAGTATTGTCTAAGTTTGGTAAAATTAATATGCAAGAACTCCAATACTGGGTTTTCCCGGTTCAGAGGGCGGGGGGTTTAAAATACCCTCCGGCTCCGGGACGCGAACTCGTACTTTTTAATCTCTCACAACTTAGGTTATCTGGTTGCCGGGCAACTTTCGGAGCTGTGCACACGCGTTAGCCCATTTGGCCACCCTGTCCCCATGGGACATTTCAAACTATACGTGCGTTGAAGGTAAAAGTCAATTGCAGAAAGTATGAGCAATTTTCTCTCTTCAGAAGGGGTACCCATCTCCTCCCACAAGATCCATGGCGCATGAACTCCCCTCCCACGAAATTTTATTGCACTTCTCTTCTTAAAACAGTACAAGCGAAAGTATTATTTGAAAAACTGTAGATCATATACAACTACACTAAATGAAGAGAAGAATAGTTGGGGTGATCAGTCAAATAAGAAGGCAAAAATAAATGATAATATTTATTTTTACATATGCCGACGTTTCGACCTGAAGTTCAGGCCTTCATCACGGCTGTCACAGTAAATCACACTGAATGTTAACTCGTCATTGTTTTCTCGTTTGAAACGTTTCACTCCGAAAATTCACAACCTCGTCAAAATTTGCCCCCTCAGAAAATAAAAATTCAGTCAAAATGAGCCCCCTCAAAAATTTTAATGGCGCAATTTGCGCTATGAAACTCCCTTCTGGTAACTCCTATATCTCTCTCTCCTAAAAACTTAACCAGATTGCATTTTTGATGTCTACAGTCCAATTAGAGAGTATTTATTTATAATTAGTATTTTATATCTAATAAAATATGGATAAATAATCACCAATACAAATGGGAAGTGTTACATATAGCAACTGTGTAAATTGGTACTCTTCAATAACATCGTATATTGTGTGATTGGTTTCAAGAGAAGCATTAGACGAAACATTAAACCCGTAGTCTACGTGTTCAAGATCCACTTCATACATATTTGTATTATTTTTTATCTTTCAAAATCTTACTCATTTACTGTATAGTTCATAGACAGATGAGTTTTCAGTTCCTGGCGCATTTTTATTTTTATTTATTTGTTTTGCGCAATCTTAGTATCCAGTCGTATGACAGAGTCATATGATATAACTGTATTAAAATATTTTGAAAAAAAAAAAACCGTTCCGTTTAACGCTTTCCCAATTTAACGCGTCACGAAATAAAAGTAACACCTCATGATGTAACTATAATAATTCTACAAACGGTTTAAAAAAACAACTGATTTATTAGTTATTATTCACAAAATTAAATGAGTTTGACATTTAGAACAAAATAAAACAGTATTGTCTAAGTTTGGTAAAATTAATATGCAAGAACTCCAAATGTCGTATTAAAAAACGTATGCAATTTAGGGCCGTATCTTGAATATAGGTTAATGTTCGTAAAATTATTATAAAAGAACCAATATGAAATATTATTTTAAAATATTTTAATGTTTTAAACTTCTTTAGACTTTTTTGTAGAGACTGGATTAGATTGATCCGTCAGATTTCTGTAGTGTTAACGCTCGGGTAATGTCGGCTATAGTAAACTAATTGTAATGTTTTTACATATGAATTAAAATATTTCAGAAACTAAAAATCGGGTCTGCAGGATAGGTGATTGTTCAGCATTTCATTCTCTCTGTAATAGGCTATAATTCCAAATTGTATTTTAACGAGACGCCGTGTTAGGAAGGCGAAAAGAAAAAAATAGTGTTAAAGACCAAACGATAACAAGTTTAGTTGAACATATGGATTAAAATATTTCAGATATTGAAAATCGTACTGAATACTGTAAGCGAGTGAAATGTTCGGTATTGTAATGAGCTATTATTCAAAATTGTATCGTAAACCAACAGCATGTTAGGAAATAGGAGAGGGAAAAAATAGTGTCGAAAAGCAAATTATGACGAATTTTATGGAAGATATAAATTAAAATACACAAGAAACTACAAATGTGGCCTACAAAAATATTGGACCGTTTGTACCACAGGCGGATCTACCGGGAGGAGGGCTTTCGGACTGAATCGCTCCCTCCCTCCCCCACAAAAAAAGTGGTAAAATATAACCATGTTTTATGAAAAAAATTATCTCTAAAAGTATTATTTTCCATCTAATTACATTTAATAGGATTTCAAGAATCACTTAAACGAAGAAATGAAATCCTGGATCCGTTAGTGGTTTGGCATATATAACCTCGTAATTTTGACATTTTAGGAGTGAAGGTCATGCAAACAGCCCATCAATATTTTTGTAGGCCACCAATTTTCTCGATTTTGTGATCAAATTATTTTACGATCCATTGGACGTCTAAATGGGTATTTACGAGTCTTTAATACCAAATTAAATAGACAAAGTTTGCCAACCTCCAAATTGAAAATGCGCAAATCCTAAGAATTTTCGTAAATTACGATGAGATGAAGCTATTCATGAAGTTTCAGGCGGATGTTAATAATTTGATGTAAAGGAGTCTGTACCATGGACTAATACGTTTTATTTTCTATCAAATTATGTAGAGCAACGAAAGCCGATGTGACTAACGCTTTTTTTTTTTTTTTTTACGAAGTACTCAAAAAGTAAACACTTTTAGTTTGATTATGGTTTATGTCTATTTGAAAATTGCAGAAATTACCTAAAAATAAAAAAGAAATCATTTGAAATCGAATCGGAATACAGTCGAGATTGTTATTTGAAGAATGATTTGATTCATTCATTTTTTTTTTCAACAAAAAGTGGATAGTAAAAACCTCTTAAGGAAGAAACTTACAATCTAATTTTTGGGAGAAGTGGTAAGGAATGTGGTGTGACACCACAAACAGATTTGATATATTACTGTTTGGAAATGATAAACCATCATTCAATAATTTTCAGCGTATTTAGTTAACGGTTTCTATCAACAAAAAAAAAAACTTGAAACTAAAAAAAAATATCAAGTTGATTTCATACATTTCTGTGGACTGGGTACACCTTATTAACCTACAAACTTATTTATTGCTCTTGAAACCTATTATCACTTCATAAAACAGTTCCCATTATTTATGGAAGGGTTCTTATATAATGGGACTAAAACAAAAAAGAATAATTGATGTAAAACCCTCTTCCACATAAACTGAAGAATCTATTCACTCCAAAATCCTCATTAAAACATGCTATGCCACCACAGTCCAAATAGAAAATATTTTATTAAAAAATTTGTTTTCCTATTTTAAAAGAAAATATATTGCATTGGCATAAAAATCCCATATTTATTTTTATGAAATTAAAATGGAGTGTATTTTGATAAACAGGAGTGTTAAAATTGAACTGTTTTCTATGATCTGGGATAAGCCTTATTACCTCAGAAAATTCCATCAGTCCTTGAAATGATTAGGGTAAACATATTGTTTTCCAATGGACAGCTGTTGAATTAGGGAGTAAAAGCCCAGTAATTATATCTCTGTTCTCCATTCCATCTTCAGAGAAAGGTTGTTCCCACAAATATTCTAACAAAAGAAGTAACTCTATTGAAAAAAAAAAAAGTATAATTTTATATTATTAAATGAAACAATTTAATACAATAATATCTGAGAAGCATACATTAAATTAGTTGAGTTTTTTGTATAATATTTTAAGTCATGTATGTATATCATTTGTTTCATCCATTCATACCCTCCTATATATTATTTCTAAAAGGTGTGTTTTTGTTGGTACGCCCTAACTACATCAAATCCAATAATTGATCACTCATTTTGAAGATATTCTTCTACATTTTTTTTCCTGGCTGATATGTTAACTTCTTTATTTCTTAACGGTATTTGTTTGTTCTAGCATTTATTATTCTTCAAACAATTTTATTTATTGAGTATTACAACAATCTATCACATGGACACTAGTAAACAATAAATTAATAATTAATCTATAACTTAGGCCATAACGCTTTTGACAATCATTTAAGTATCTAGATTTTATTTCAGATCAATAACAACTATATCTCATATATGTAAACATACACATATAAAGCGTACTGATATCCTTGTAGAGTTTCTATTTTTTTGTTATTTTATACCTCTTAAAACCCATAGCTGCCTAATCTTCTCTGTGATTTTTCCCTATTTGGATAATAAATTCCTTGTCTGTTAATATGACTATCAGTAAGCATAAGTCGAGACTAAAAATACTTATAAATTGTTTCATTAAATTCGCCTTTCTGCCTCCAATTGGTAGCATGTGTTAAAGTGGATTTACTTTGTTTTCCGACAGCTATACTTAGATTTTAAATTTGTCCAAATTGCAATATCTACCCAATCTTTCAACATGAAATTCCAGTCAACAAACCTTTATATTCCTTTTCAAAGAACTGATCATTCAAAAATTCCTTTACCACTCATGCTATCCTATTTAGGAATTTCTTCCTAACCGCCATTCTTAAAACCTCATTTAAACACTAAATTAATTCTCCATCTCCTTAATTATCAATATTTTGTAAATATAAGAATAAATTGATTGTATAATAATATTACATGACTAGTGGCAGATCCACAGGGGGAGAAAAGATAGAAATTTCGCCTATCAAAACAACCAATAAGAAAAAACTCTAATAAATTAACTCTATACAAAGTCCTAATTAGACTACATGGACATATGGTATCGAGTTTTGGAGTAAAGCAAAGACATCAAACACAAAATGAATTTTGAAGAGAAGCATGGTTGGGGTGGTCAGTCAAAATAGAAATAGCAAAAATAAATAATAATATTTATTTTAACATTTGCGGAAGTTTAGGCTTTCATCAGGGCTAAGAAAAGAACCAGATGACAATAGGTATGAGAAACATAAACCATGTAGGTGAAAAAAATTAAAGTAAAATGAAGTAGATAAGTGAACATTAAAGTAAAATTACTTTAAAACAACTTATACATTTTGCTTTAATGTTCACTTATCTACTTCATTTTCCTTTAAATTTTTTTACCTACATGGTTTATGTTTCTCATACCTATTGTTATCTGGTTCTTTTCTTAGCCCTGATGAAAGCCTGAACTTCCGCAAATGTTAAAATAAATATTATTATTTATTTTTGCTATTTCTATTTTGACTGATCACCCCAACCATGCTTCTCTTCAAAATTCATTTTATGTTTGATGTCTTTGCTTTACTCCAAAAATCGATAACATATGCCCAAGTAGTTTAATTAGGACTTTTTATAGAGTTAATTTATTAAAATCTACTAACTCAAGCTCTATCTACCGCCACAAATCCATATGATCCGCCCAAAAGACTGATGAGGCGCTGGCCAAGAGGCTTACTGTATTGAGTTAATTGCTGTGTTATCTTATACTTTTGTGTTATTTTGTTAGTTTATTTTATTTTTTACTAGTTTTGGAATTAATATTCTTTTGGCCTTGGTTTTTTTTTTTTTTACAGAAAAAATTTACAGAATAAAAAAAAATTCTCTGGTTTTTGATAAAAGAAAAATTATCACATGTAATTTATTAATTGAACTAGGAATGTACCGTAATAATTGGAAAGGTAAATATTTTTCTTGAAATGCTTATCACTCATGTAAAAAAAAAAAAACCAAACAATCGTATTATACTTTGGGTAGATAATTTATCATTATAGCATGAGTGGTTAAAAATAGCAAATTAATTATCTCACTATGAGATTAGAATAGGTTTTTAAAATTTAAATTCTAATTTAAGGCTATCTTTATCAACTTTTGAGATTGAAATAATGAATAATTAATAAAACCTAAATTTATAATAAATATTTAATTGAATTTATTGTAATTTTAATAAATTGTAATAAATATTTAATTGAATTTATTGTAAATTTAATAAATTGTTCAATTTTTTTTTTCTGTTTTATGTAAAGGATATTGGAAGTATTATTATTATGCTGCATTATTTTATAAAAAACATAAATATCAAAAATATTTTTATGTAATTTTAGTAACTTTTTTATCCTATTTCTTTTTTTATTATTTTATTGAAATTTACAACTGTAAGCATGCATACAACTAGTAAATCTGCTATAGGAATATATAACATGAAAGAACTTGTGAAGAAGCTACTCATTCGTAACACTTCAAAGATAAATTAATTTAGGAGGCCCCTTGGCCATCTTATTACCAGACGTCTCGGATGGTTGTAATTGTGTTGGATGAAAGGTTACGAACTAGAGGATTGGGGTAAACAAAGAGTTTGGAATTAAAAGAGGAATATCTAGTTTAGGTCAAGTCTTCCGCAAGAGGAATGTTGAGGTCTTTATGTATAATTTTATTTGTTACATAATAAGGAGCATTTAAGATTTTACAGAGGATTTTGGATTATAAGGATTGGATACAGGAAAAATTTGATGATTTCGCAGAGCCCCAAAGCTCAATACCATATGTCCAAATGGGCCTAATGATTGTGGTGTAAATGAGTTTTTTGTAGAATATAGGAAGTTTACAGCGTCTGTCATATAAGTGTTGTAGTAGTCGGAATCTGATGGCAGTTTCTTATCTTATAAGTCTAGTATGAGGATTCCAGGTGAGGCGTTTGTCAAGAAGGAGTCCTAGGTAACGGATCTGTTCGCCAGGGATCAGTGGAATATTGTTAAAGGATACAGTGGGACAGGATGTTGTAGGTTTACAGCAAAGGGTAAAAGTAATTTGTTGGGATTTGTTTGGATTAATTTTCATCCTCCGATTTGTATACCATTCTTCAATGGCTAAAATGTGTGACTGCAGGGTTTGTGATGCAATAGTTGGAATTTTAGAAACTAGATTTTTTGAAAGGATAAAAAGCAGCTACTTGTATGTTTTCTTTGTTTTAACATCTTCTTTTTAAATTTTATTTAAACAATACAGCCAATTTTAGATATTAGATGGACGTTAAATATACTACAAATATTAAATGCACAAAATGTTACCTTCTAAGAAAATATAAGTTAAGTTTTTATATACATACATACTAACAATGGTGGAGAGAACCAGTATGACAAGTAGATCTAGTAATCCTTTTTGCCCCCACTCCAACGGCTACCTTTAGTTTTCAGTAGTGCTGAGGAGTAAATATTGACTGATCCAGGTGGGAATCAAATCCACAGAGTTTCTAACTGGGCACTCCGGGTCCCTTACCACCACATTCTCTATATTCGTTCAAGCATACATACTGTTTTTTATTATGGCTACAAAGTAGTTAGTTTATCAATATATCTATAAAATGCCCAAACTGAAATGAGATAATTTATACTCATCAAGTAATAATTATAAATAATTTATTGTAATACAATTAAATTGTTTTACTTTCGCTTTTTTGATAAGATATTTAACGATAATAATTTTAAAGCCAATGTCTATGAACGATACTCCCAAATTACTCAATTTATATATAATATTTTATTCAAATAATGTGTTGTTCCAAGTCAATTTATGACACGAAAACAATATCCAAGTTAAAGGACTCATTTAAATGAAACAACGATAAACTATGAAAAAAAATTATAAAATTAATTTTAATGTTTTATGTATATAGATAAATTTATAATAGATATTTAGTAATTTATAGTAAATAAATACTTCTTCCCCTTCTTTTAGCTGATTCTGTGTCCTATGTTTTCTATATACCTAATCCACTTTTTTTAATGTATTGCTTCACAGTGATAAGTTTAAAATAAAATAACAGTTAAGGTTGTAATTAATGTTTATTTAATTACTTAATTCAAATAAAGTTATTATAATAAAGTTTGTTCCTAATTTTATTTTCCTTACCTGAACAGATCATTTTAATTTATTTTAGGAATTGTATTACTTTGATTAAACTATTAGAATTTTTCGAAAATCTAATATAACAAACAAAAAAGAAATGTCCATTTGAAGGCTTTAATACATTAAAATATAGTTTCAGAACATAACAATTTCAATTTTAGCCCTATACTGACTTTTGATGGTTCAATTGTAAAAACTAAATCAATTCTTTTCATGTCAGTTACAAGGCTATAGGTGTAGAAGGTATACCAAAACGGACAGTTTTATTCCCAAAAATCGTATTTCATTTTTGTTAAAAAACAATTCCATTAGCATAAAAAACAAATAATTTTATAATTAACATTGACTTTAGATAAGGAGAAGGAAAGTATTGATATGGTGTAACCTTGCACCCTAGTAAACAGTAATAAGCTTCATTCCTCATCAGTCAGTGAAAGTAGTTCAACCTGTTTTAAGCAGCTCTGTTAAAGTTTTATTATATTTTCAGTAAACTCTGTTCAAAATGTCTGAAAAGATAGGTATTGTAGGAAGGTAAAAATCCACAATGCACTTTTATAAATGTTATTTATAATATTGTTTTGAAACTTAAATTGAATGAACAGATTTTATAATAATAATAATAAGATGATTAAAGATTGTGTTTATTTTGTCAGTGGTTTGATAGGAAGGAGCTGGGCAATGCTGTTCGCTAGTGTTGGATACAATGTAACGATATATGACATCCTGCCCGAACAGATTGAAAATGCTAAGAAAGATATTGAACAGCAAACACACACATTAAAGAGTAAAAATTTGCTAAGGGGTCCAATACCAGCGGAGCAACAAATAAATTTGATCAAAGGTCAGTTTCGGACACAGCCAAAAACCTAATTAGCAATAAGGAAAAGTAAGTCCAATTGGCTAAAAGAAAAATAGTTATCAAACTTGTAAACAAATATATTATGAATAATAATATGTTTCCTAATGTTGTTGCTGATTAAAACAATAGTTTAATATGATATAGGTGTAATTTGTAAGAAGTGCACATAGGTACCTACTTGAAGTATAATAAATTTTAAAAGAAAATAGAATTTTGGAATATTTTTTTTACAATATTTTCTATTTACTCAAACTTTGCAACTGAATAATTTATTTAATCAAACCCAGGGACCAGTGACTTAAAGGATCTTGGAGATGCAGTTTACATACAAGAATGTGTTCCTGAAAATTTACCTTTAAAACAGAAAGTTTTTGGAGATCTGGACAAAGTAGTGGGACCTAAAACAATCTTAGCAAGTTCTACATCGACGTTTCTTCCCTCTACATTCACAGAACACATTAACAATCGGAAGAATGTGATAGTGGCACACCCAGTAAGCAATTTATTAATTTTATTTAGTTGTAAGAATCTTGAAAAGTATACATTAATCTTGATTTAATGGAGAAAATAGAGTACACAAGTATTGTGGTCCGCAGTGAATGTAACATCTTACAATCTGTAGCTTATCTTATCACAGTTGTCATCTACAGTTGACATGACGTTATCACAAAATGTGAACTAATTATAACAGATTGTAACTCTATTATTTTTCACCTAAATAGTGTGCAATTTATTATGATATTAATGGTTTTTGGACTTTCTGTTCACGATTTGAATCGGAGCTCAGCCCATTTAAAAATTGACTTTTCCAAGTTTTGGAGAAAGATAATGGTAACTCGGTGAATGAGTGAGCAAATGGAAGTTGTGATAACGTATGTGATAATGCATATATAATGTAAATTTACTTAACGAAAACATCGGTTTCTACCTCTTTGTACGTAACCGTTCAGTTCAGTTAACATCAGGTAAAATAAAATGTTTTGAGTAGAACAATACAAATCCAAAACAATTCAATTACACCTCGAATAAAGATAAGAAAGAAAAGAATTATTGGTTTCACTAAATGATGATGTAATCTTTGCATTCCTACGATACGGCTGAACAGAGATCTAACATTTAGAAAATGACTATTGACTGAAATTACATGAGCATTAAAGTGGTAAGATAAAGGACCAGGCCTACAAACTGCGATCAGTACCAGCGATGTGATATCGCGTTTAGGAGATTTATTCCATTACATAGTCAAACTATTCGAAGGGTGCAGAGATGGACAAATAAATGATACTCTGATTACCGAGTACCAAGTATTTTACTCAAATTGAATCACTATTGGGAATTCAATTAATCGTTGGACATCAACTGAAGCAGTAAATAAATTCTTTGGTTCTCAAAAAAAAATCACTATTGGAGTAAAATATGTGGTGCTCAGTACTCAGAGTAGCGTTTGCCCACCTCTGGCTGGGGTCGGGGTGGCCGAGCGGGCTAACGCGTCTACACAGTACCGTGCGTTACTCGCCAACCTGATCAGCGAAGTTTGATTTAGAAAAATAATTACATGTTCAAATCTCGGTGTTCGGTGGGACTTTTAACTCGACATAATTCCTCCACCTCTCCCCCGGCCCGGGAAAACCCCGTGTAGCCTAAAAATCAAGGAAGCTGAAACAAAAAAAAGTCATACAGTTCGCAATCTTCCTTAGCGATTTATTAGCGATACAGACAATGAAATCGCAGATCGCGTACTGTATCCTTAAGTTTAAGACAGTCCGAACATGGGATTTTTCTAGAATACAATATTTGAACATAACAGGTTATGTAAATGATAAGGTGACTGCTAGCGGGATGTCAACAAAATTGCCGAGAACGGAGTCGTTTATTTGTACTCAAGCTCAACAATGGTTCGATGGCGGTTCCTCTCCAAATCGGATCTCCTGTAGTTTATGGCGAATTGGTAATACTATTGCATATCCTCATCATCACCGCTCGATGAAGAACTTGCGGTCATTTTTAAAGCAATTCACTAAATGTTGAGTCATACTGACGCTACTTTGGCAAGCCATGTGCGGAAGTATAACGCAGGGGACGATTTTTTTTTTTTTTTTTTGCATCTTTCGCACTAGCAATGACCATTGTACAAAATGCTTAAATCTCTACTCTCAACCATCAACAGTACAACTATCGCTAAGAGCAGTGAAGTTTTAGTTTTAAAAATGTTAACAGTTTGGACTTCATTTTCTTGTAACTAATAGATTATTTTACAGCGAAATTTAAGGCTATGTGGTTTTAGATGGTGTCTGTTTTCTGCGATTCTGTATTTTGAATGGGACCGTACAAGCTTCCTAAACTAGTTTCATTAAAAAAGTTTTGAAATTTTATTGAATTTAGACTGAACTATAAGGGAATATTCTGAGTTTCAGACCAACAAAAAATAGCTGATTAACATTATAATAAACAGCGTCAAACTCATATTATCACAAGTTCAACTTTTTATTATAAGCCCTTATTTCTTAGACATTCATCATAATTCCTGCGGATATATAATATTTTCCTCTTTTATCAGATGGCTAACAATCTGTTAAGTTTCTTGAATATCTGTTCGACAATGCAGTAGAAAATGATTTGCAATTGGAAAATACAATAGAGCGATATATTTGTTGTCTTTTATTTGAAATTAATAAACTTATTTCAATTTATACAGTTTTCTTTTAATTAGTTAAAACGAATTTAGTGTAAAAAAGGGAAACTTATTTGAAATCGACAATTAGTCAATTAAGAAACGACTTAAAATAAAATGAAATTATAATCTTCAGATAATTATTAAAACGAGTGTAAACACTTTTAATTCTATTTCTTATTGCTTTATTTACATAATTCCCATTTATTACATAATTTCAGCAGGACTCTAGGAATTACTATAGTATTGTAGTATATTAATTAGTATAGGCAAACAACTTAAGGGTGATTCTCAGATTATGGACAATTTTCATGATAAAATTTTAATAATTTTGATGGAATTTAAATATAATTTTCTAAATACCTACACCTTCTATTCCCGCTTAGCTTTATCTGAGAAAATGGCCAAGATCAAAAGTGCATTTTGCTCAGTAATTAAAGTAAGTAAAGCTAATAATTCGGTTGTAGGAATGAAACGAGTTTTCAACTTAGTAATGACATTTTCACGTATTTTATTCGGCCAAAACCACTGTGTAACTAGTATTATAATTTTTGTTTTTTCCAACTGACTTGCTAAAAGCCTTAGTCAAACGTGAATTATATAATAAATGAAATAATTTGAACAGGTAACGAAATAATATATGAGGTAGTAATGACAACAATAATGGTACTTGCTCAACGTATAAGAAACGGATGCGTAGAGAGAGGCTGTCGGTTATTATGTTATGGACTGGTCGGTTATTATGTTATGGTTTTTGCTTGGTAATGACATCAAAGTGATGGGACAATGTTTGAAAATACATAAACATACTTCACTGTGAACAAAAGTTTAAAAAACATATAATTCAAATTGTCTTAATTATTCTTTAGGAGTGAAAATAAATTTCACTGTCATTTTACATAGGTTTCGAAAGAAAAAAAAAATTGTTTACTAGAAAAGTGAGAATGGGAAAATACCTGGTAATGACATTTTAGTAGTTTGAGTAATTATATAATCACCATATTCTTTAATATTTCATTATGAAGAAATACTTCTTCAATGTATAGCAGTGGGAAAAAAATTAAGATAGACTTAACATATCACGTAAAAGTTATAAAAGACTGAACCTTGCCCCTAAAATTAGAACCACCCTTAAGCAAAATTCTTGTGAGTGGAGCTTAAACTAGTAGATTACGCTTGAACCTTATCAAAGATACTATGCCTTTTTTTCTAATCAGTATTTTGATTTGTTATATAATATTTTAATCGCGTGAACTAATTCATAAATTTACCTATAGTTGCGTGTGGAAATTGTGACTCACTAACTTTTTCGATTGTGCAATTTGACTTTTTTGTCTAATTAATAGGATCTATGTTCTGCTGTTGAAGAAAAAAAAAAATCGTTTCTATCTTAGACGCACATAAGAATAGATACAAGATGACAATATTTTAAGATTATATTTTCAATTTAAATTAATTATGTCCAACAGGTAAACCCACCTTATTACGTACCACTTGTCGAAGTTGTTCCAGCCCCTTGGACAGAACAATGGGTCGTCGCTAAAACAAAAGAGATCATGACAAAGATCGGGCAAAGTCCAGTTGTTTTATCAAAAGAAACACCTGGATTCGCTTTGAACAGGATACAGTAAGTGTTTTTGTTAATTTTTTTATTCTTATTTATTTTAGGTAAAATATCATGTTTTAAATACGTGGCGCGTGGGATTAATTAAATAAATTTGTACTTCATATTTTATAAAAACATTTTCAGTGGGCGGAGGGGACTGGGTGTCGATTTTACAACGTGCCGATTATTTATTAAAAATAATACATTTTATTAATTAAACTAATACTAGAATTATTAATTTCAATTACAGGTGCAATAAGTTCCTTTTTTTAAAAACAATGTTTAAATAGATCCTGAACACGAAGCCTCATCAGTAACGAGAAGTTTTAGGAAAAAAAAAAATTGAATTTCGAAACGTTAAAATAGCGTATCAATTATGAAATCAATTTTTTTTATTTTTAACGTTTACAGACGAAGTAGTTTAAACCAAACACTGTTTCATCATTATATTTTGTGTTAATGAATAGATAAACGTTTAATCTTCTTAAGAAACATTGTCTGTTGAATTCGAATAAAAGATTAACTAGTGTGTGATGTTAAGAAAATAATACATGCTAATTTATTGAAAAAAGTAATTACTTACGACTTACGTTTCTAGCACAGAAACTTTTATTTCCTTAAGACAGGTTGTAAATCAATTAAGAATACCTTATGAAATCCTGTTATATCTAACTTCAACCAAAAATTTAATTAAAACTATCTTCCATGAAATTCTTTACCTGTACTACAGTTAATGTACTAAGGTGTACCAACCTTCCAAATATTCAGTACAAATAAGTATACATCTATATATTTTTGTATTATGTTATAACTAAAACTTAATTTCTTCATTAATACCTTAAAAATATGACAGTAAAATATTTCTAACCACTGAACAAAGAAGATTTATTTTTTAAAGGCAATTTTAAGAGCAACAAAATTCAAGTTCATGAGTAATGACTTGCAATACTTATTTAAATTTATAATGAAATTCTTTATTTTATTTATAATGAAATGAAATTTTTTACATTGTAACTTTCTTAAAAAATACATATTATCTATTAAATATTTGAAATTTGAAAATGAGCTATGTATTAAGTTCTTTTAAAGGTTTTATTAAATAATAATAATAATATAGGTTTATATATTTATAACTCAAATTAAACTTCAGTGTGATTCCAATATGTGTTACAGGCCTGTTTTAGGGAAAAATAATAATATCTACAGAAAAACATCCTATGCTAGAAAATTATATTTAATAAGTCACATAAATATAAAAAAAAAAAATATGGCAACAAACCATTTTTCGGAATCCTCTTTTTTTGTTTTCCATATTGATAATGAAATTACCTTGTCGAAATGCTAGGGAGAGAATTAAAACAATTTTTTTTTTTTTTTTTTTAGAAGTAGAAAATTAAGTCATAAAGAATTACTAAAAGGTATTTATGTTAATAAAAATATACATAATCTATTTTTTTTTTTTTTTTTAATATGAGTTCTCCCAATGGGTAGTTACTCTTCATGTTGTACATGTGATGTTACCTATGTTACCTTTACTTATTGTATTTTCCATGTAATACAGTTGTAAATTTCATTAAAATAAAAAAAATAAAAAAATTTTATATTATCTTAAAACTAAAACATTTTTTAGGTATGTAATTCTTAATGAATGCTGGCACCTAGTAAATGATGGAATTCTCAGCGTAGAAGATGTAGATAAGGTGATGTCGGAGGGACTTGGTATGAGATATGCTTTTCTCGGTCCATTTGAAACGGCTCATCTTAATGCTGAAGGTAAAAAATCGGTCACATTTAATTAAACCATTATTTAACAACAGTTTAAATTTTATCATGTATATGCTAAAAGATACTAACTTATAATATTTTAAACATTTCAAAAAGTTTAAAGATATTATTTTAGATCGATTAGTTAGCATGGTACATTTGATTATATTTTTGGAATTTGTTTTAGGAATGGAAAACTACTGTGAAAGGTACAGTAAATCCATGTATGCAGTTTGCCAAACCATGAAGCCTGCTCCGAAGTTTGAGGGTCCGTTGGTAAATACTCTGATGGATCAGCTTTCTGAGAAAACTCCTGTCAATCAGCTACAGAAAAGGCGAGCTTGGAGAGACAATTGCCTTACCCAACTGTCTATTCTGAAGAAGAAGTTGTAAGATAATAAGCAATGAAAGATTGTTATCTAAAATAATACTAAAAAATATTTGTTATAATGTCAAACATATGTAAATAAAAATTTACTACTCAAAAGTTTGTCTCGACTTCTCATAACATGTTTTCCCCATAAATCATACCTTTAATTATAATTGGAAAACAAACAAAAATTCTGAATGTTTCTTAACCCTAATGAGATAATTTTTTCTTTGCTTTGAGAAAAACGAATATGACAATGAACTTTTTTTATTTGCTTTACCTGTTCACAATTTTTCAAGAGAAATGAAAAAAGTCTTGTTTGTAGTACTTGTACAAAATCATTAACATTATTTATTATTTTTTTTTTTTGTGATTATATGTGTAATTCCAGTTTTAAAAAATAGTTCCTGCAGCTGGATCAAGAATGTTTTCTTTTGGCCTGCCTCTTATACTTCAAATTATCTGCTAACAATGATTGATTCCAACACCACTGTTATAATTGATCTTTTGAAGAAATGTCTTGGTGGAATCTCTTCTCATACTCATCACTTACATAATCACTATTTTCTGAGAAAAAAAATGTATTTTTAGAGATATTCCAACCTAGACCATTGTTTTTTTATAAACATGTTTTAGACCAAATGAGTATAGTTATTGTCTTTCCGGAGTATAGGCCATGGTGGCTGAGCTGGTACAAGTATTATCTGCTTTAACATTTTCAAGTCTAGTGGTGCGAGTTCAAATCTGGTCTGGAGGAATTGAATTTTATATTGTAGCAGACTCATGAAATAAATACTGACCTTTCCACTTTAGTCAGAATAGATGTTAGCTTCTTTAAAAATATCAGAAACTTCACGTCCAAAAAAGAATTTGTCCTTGATCTTGACATTGATAAATATAAATGGAACTTTGATAGATTTTCACTTTAATTAATACAGTTATATAAACACTTTGATATATACAGTTAATATAGCCCAATGTGTTATATTAATAATTGAGATAGTGCATTAAGGATGGTAAGGAATAAAAATTAACAAAACAATATAATGTAAGGATACTAAGTAATGGACAATAAATTTAAAATAAAAACTCCAGTTGATCAATAAATAAAAGAATTTATTTGCCCTTCCATATCCTACACATAACATGTCTTTTTTAATAAAATTGTTTAAAAAATTTCAATTATCTTCAAAACATTATTATCATCTTAAAGCACAATGTAAAATATACATTGCTACGATACGACATTATAGAGGCGACTCTTTATAATACTGATACTCTTTCTATAATATTATTTAGAAATTTAATAATTGATGGGTTCGACAACATACCCATAATAAAGCAACGAGTAATAGATATGTTTAATAACAATTAAAAAGTTATATTGTATAATACACAATTTTTTATAATTAGTTTCATTTCAAATATACAAATTCTATAATAATTTGGAACACGTACATGTTTCGTTTAAAGCTATTGCATGTTCCTTTTAAAAAATTGTTAGTAACACAGTTATTATAGCTAAATATTTCTAACATGACTTATATTATTTATAATAATGACAATATCTAAACAGCGAAATATACAACTCAAAAATTTCGAATGAAAATTTAAAAAATAGCTCTAATTACATTCTATTGTTGGCCAGTAAAAAATGTAATATATCACTGTAATTTACAGTTGAACAAATGAATTAAAGACAGAATAATAAATTGAGTTAAGTAGGCAAAATCACAATGTATAATATTAATCTATCCAGCCTTAGCTTTCTAAAAAAATATCTTTAATATATAAAGATTGACTATATATATTATATATGTATATAATTAAATATTATTTCAAAAATATAACAGATACTTTGATTAAACTTGAAAAATTATCAACAAGTTACTACTTATTATCAAATAGTTGAATCAAGTAGCAATAAAATCTGGAAGGAAAACAGTTGAGGAATACAAATTATTTAACTCGCTGATTGTCACTAGAAGAAAAATTAAGGCGATGTTAACATTCTGGAAAAGAAGAAAAAATAAATTAAAATATTAAATTAGAAATTTAAATTTAATGATAGATAAATATTATCATCATAGCAATCAATCATTCTCTAGATCCATTGGTTAAAACTATAACAAAAATATTAGTGAATAGAGAATTCTAGGATTGTTAAGTGTGTTGATAGGTATTATAATATGTTTTTATAATGTCTTATATTTTTACTTTGATTACAATGTTTTTCCTACAGAACAACCATAAATTACTACCTAGTAAATTATTATATAATTCCATTATTAAGTACTGCAAATGCTGTCACCAACTGTCAAGGTGAGGATAATATAGCACGGATAATAAGGCGTTGTATAATGATTATTCAGAAGAGTAACTGGAGAAGCTGAGGAGAAATTTAAGATTGGATGATTGGACAACCAACAAACCATTAATGATCGAGGAGATGAGGGTTTCAGCTTTAGGAGACATCAAACAGAGAATATTGGCTACGAGACTTTGAAGAGGTTAGAGATGAAGGCGAGATTTACCTGCTCTCTGATCAGGCACATAGGAATATAAACGATTGAGTAGGTAATAGGCAGGTATACAAAATGACAAACGATGTGAAACAAAAATAGTAGATAACAATACTTGATATATAGTACTTATTCACAGATCAGGAGAGACTAAAAAGCAAACAATTCAGGAACTGAATCAAATAAACCACAACTTTAGCTTAGATCAGTCTCTAAACCATAGCTTTACTCCTATATCATGTATAATCTATACCATAGCATTATTGTAAGTAAAAATATGCATGTTTACAATACAATAAATATAAAAAGTACAGTGGAGACCAGATTAGCTGAGGTAAGATAATCAGAGTCCAATGATCCAAGTTCATATTTTACGTCATGATCAACAATTGTAGAGGAGAAGAAGTAATACAAGGTAATGAAGAACCTGATGGTGATAACCTACAGTGAAGATAATCAAGATTTATTGCAACTGATATAAGACATATCCAGCTTTAAACAAGAAGACAATGCAGAATTCAAATTTTGAGTTTGGATAGTGAAGAACTCTCTTAAGGAAAGCTCTTTGAATCAGCAACTCAAGATGAGTTGAGATTGAAAGATAATAATATAAACGAATATGTAATGTTCAAAATCAGCTACAGAAGGGTTTCATTGGTCTGAAAAAGCTTTGGAATATGCACCCAAACAAGATAAAATCAAGCCTGTAGAATGTGTTTCTTTCAAGAAATAGCATATGGCCAAAGCAATTGCTTTCTGAATACTGAGTACCAAATATTTTACTCAAATACTGATATTTTTTTTAGTACCAAAGAATATAATGACTACTTCAATTGATGTCAAACTATTAACTAAAGTAGTGATTGGATTCCCAATAGAGATTCAATTTGAGTAAAATACTTGTTACTCGGTACTCTGGAGTAGTTTGCTCATTTCTGATACACGTAGCTACCAAACGAGGAATCTTATGAAAACAGAGGAAAACATAAGATTCTTTTTACTTCTTTAGATTCTTTTTTAAAATTCGAAACCCATGTTAAATTGATGAAAAAAAAAAAAAAAAATCCTGTACCACTACAACCCATAAAGGGTCTGGGGTTCAGTACTATTTAGGGAAAGCACTGTTTCTAGGTCCACAGTTGTGCAAGGAGGGCATTTGACCGAGATCACGCTTAACCGCCGGGTTTTCCCCCCTAATTAATTATTTAACCAAGGGTACCCACTTTATAGAGGCTGGGTGTGCCCCAGGAGGGACTCCTGACCAAAGGTCGCTCCACGGCCAATGAAACAGATAAATAAATTTTCTGCCATGAGCCGGGGTTCGAACTCGGGACCTTTGCATTGGAAGCTCAGTGCCCTACCACTGAGCTACCCCGCTCCCTTATGTTAATTTGATATTATTCATAAATGTATTTAATATTTGGATAGTCAAGAGTTTTTGAATAATCTGAGGTGGGCTGATCCCATCCAACATGACTCCATTTTTTTTTTTGGGTAGACAAAAATCTTATTCATTATGTACATAATTAAACAAAATTAAATTAAAAGTAAGTCAATCATGAAACTAACCTATGCATATCTACTTGGCTACCAATTTTTGGTAAAGATTCCTGAACAAAATCAGAGCCTGCAACAAATTTAAAAACAAATCCAAATGAATAAAGCAATTACAAATTATTTAAACAATAAGTAGATGTATAAAAATTAATAAATAATTTATAATATAATAAAAATTAATTGATAATTAAAATGATCTAAGAAAACTGGATAATATATCTAACTCTCTTGAGTTTGAACAAATATATTTAAGGCATAACACAAATCCCTATATTTTATAAATCTATAGCTGTTAAAGCTTCTATAACTACACTACGATTTCGAGAAATCTGGATTACAAATGAATTTTTGTTTTTTGTATTTTTTAGCATTTGATTGGACTAAATGATAGATTTAGATTTTGTAATCCAGATAGCTCAAAAAAGAATCTAAAGCAAGAGCTGACAAGGTCTAAAGCTATTCTAAAACTATTTACCTATTTACATAGGGTGAACAAAATGGAGAGTGTTATACAAAATGTATCACTGGACACTTGATATTTTCGCACCTGAATGACGATTCACCAGTTGTTTTTTTTTTCTTCAAAATTATAACAATATGAGACAATTACAGACAATTCCAAAGCTATCTTGAAATCATAAGCTTTCTCTTGGACATGGGTAAGGAAGTAACAATGTAACTGTTATCTTTTCGGCCATATTTTGACAAGTGTTCCTACTTAGTAAGACCCTTCTGTTTCTCGAGTGAGCATAAGTCAACAATTATTATCTAAAGCAATAGAATTCCAACCATTCAAATGTACAGAATTACCTTGCTGCTTAAAATATTTTAGAAGAGAAAATGAAACTGTACCAAGATGGTCCTAGATTGTCATTACATAACTAACTTCACCTCCGTCAACATACAAATAGTCAAACTCTCATACCTGACTATAAATATTTATTCAAGAGAAGTTGGATAGAGTTTTCAGGCAGCGAAAATACAAACTAAAAATAAATAAATTATTTCATTATTATACTTGGCACACACTACTCCAACATAATCAATAACCCCAGAACGCGATAATATTAATATTTCCAACAAAACAAACCTACATCCACATAAAGAAAAAGAACAAATAATAGGTCCAAAGTACAAATATAAATTTTAATATTGGTTAAAGCTACTCAATTGTTAGTTAGGCAATGTGTAGCCACAGCTACAAGGTAGGCAGAAATTGTAAATCATAAATCTGACAAACAGAGCAAACATATCAAAGTGGTAAAAATAACTGTAAACCTTAATAAATTTAATATGTTGGCTGCTGAATATATCTCTTAAATGTCCTTGGGGACCAAGACTATTTATGAAGTTCCTAACGGCATCGGACACCGGAGATGCATCAGTTTCGAGGTATACCGCTATTTTTCTACAACAAAGGTGAACTGAATTCCCTATTCAGAGTCTCTATCTGTTGATTGTGTTCTCATTAATGGCCAAAAATCGTTGCAGTGGACTCCGACGTCCGATGCAGTGTATATGACAAGTTTTTTATTATTTCTCTTTATTTTAGTAACATGATTTATTTATTTTTGCTTTGTAATTTCACTGACTGAAAACCCCAATCAACTTCTATTCAATATATCTGTTACAGTCAATTAATAATCCACTAACATAATAAAAAATTTTTATTTTTTTTTTTTCAACGAATGTTCCAAGTTGTTTCTCTGACAGATTATTTATAATTTATTTATTTATAATTTAATAAGATCCTCAGGGTCAAAGGACCAATAGTCCAGGATAACCAGAGTACTTAGATATATGGAATGATAAAAAGAACAAAACATTTTTTAATTAACAAACATCCTATTACTGGTATGAGAAAACTAGTACAAGAAATCTAAGTTGAACGTAAGCCATCTTGTCAGCTCCCTAATCTCACAACTATCAAGCTAAAATTCTCTTCCTAGTGAAGTTCCTAACTGGACCTACATCCACACTACGCCGCTTCGACACCAAGCTTACCAGATATAGTTCTTCGTATGGTTTCCGTATGGTAGTGAGTTAATCACTTACTAATTTGCTGATTAGATCCTACCATAAAACATTTACATAAACCTCCATTTACTAAGCAACCTATAATTTATAAAATATTTATTAATATATACTAAGGATATTTATCATTATGTCAACTAAAAATAATAATTTGAGAAGTAGTTGGTTGAGGGTTCAGTCAATATATAATATTGCATATAATAATATTTTATTATGTTTGCCGACATTTTGACCTAAAAAAAGTTAGGAGACTGTCAATCTCCTAACTTCTTTAGGCTGGGCCAGATGAAATTCCCCGATGAAGACCTACAGCATAGGACAAAACATCATCAAACATAATAAAATACTGTTATAATATATTGACCGTAACCCTCGACCAACTTCTCAAATTATAATTACAACCAATCATCTCCATTCCATTAAATATAATTATTTGATTTGAATGTTGAAATAATTAGTCAACTATGTCAAAATGTTAACAATTTATAGAATAATACTTATTAGTAGACTATTAGCTCATTTCATGGCTAAATACAAAATTTGTTACATTAGAAAATTAAAGAGGGCTGAAAATAATTTTATTGAAGGCTTTAGATAAAATACAATATACATTTATTTTTTATATTAAATGTCTTCCTCACACAATTATTAACAAGGAAAGACCTACTGTGGTTTCTCACCATGGTCGGAATCAGAGAGGTCATTTCCTTCATGGAGGGCTACATCAGATCCGCTGGAACTACCTCTTGCCCTTCGGTCTTCACTTCCACTACTGTCACCCCCTACAACTGAAAATGACAGAATATTCAGAGGATATCTAGCAGCTTTGGAGTCCGAGAAGAAATTGATAAAAATGGTTTAATATAATAAAAATTATGAGTCAATTTGTTAAAAATTACTATCTATAGCAGGACATTGATTTTGTAAGTAAGATAATATGCTCTTAAACTGTGGGATTTTTTTTATGTTGGTTAAATGGTGCTAACATAAATTATCCTGTAAACAATGGTCATCAGTGATCCTCAATAGTACTAAAACTTGCCTTGTAGTGTCCGTTTCTGTGAAATATATCAACCAATTTCATCAAGTGTGCTGTTATAAGTTTTAAAAAATTTCTTTTAAATCTGCTTATTTCCTTTCTTTGAAAGACATCCATGAAATATCATAACCGTATTGCAAAATAACAAAAAAAACATATTAATATTGAAAGTGAAATAAAAATTGGAAGTGATGAAGCCAGTATTTATTATTTTACTTATCGCGATATAGGCAAACCTCTTATCAGCCACGTGTGTACCATTTTTAGAATTTTTTTTTTGTCCATATTCTTCTCATTTTTTCTCCCATCTCCCTGCTTTTTTCATCTGTCCATATCTTACTTTTTTGCTTCTTCTTCTGTGCTACAAGAACCTTTATGTTTTTCACTATTTTTCCTTATGTTGATAGTCTTACTCTTTGGTATCAATTTTTTTCTACTTCTTCTTTTATTTGCTCCGGATATCCTTTTATGTTCTTCAGTCTCATCACTCTATTGAATATTAAAAGTTTGGTTAACCGATCTCCATCCATTCTCTTCATATGCCTGAAGAATTGGTCTTCTTTTGAGTCATCATTGCAATATAAAAAAAGTTTTTGTTTTTTTGTTTAAAGAGGATTTTTTGGCATAAAACACTTATTATTATTCTTACTTTTTTATAGACTGAATCCTAAACTAATATATAATCCTTGAATGTTCAAAAATGTTTTAATTTTCATAAATGCATAAAATTACCATCTCGAACTCCATCCAGGGAGGGTGATCTCCAAAGAACTTTTTCTTGCTCCCAATTTCCTTTCCTAGGATATGAAACTTGCTTCTGATTGATATCTTCCAAATTATTGACTAAAAACATATTTATTATAAATAAATATTGGTCAAATAGATTTGTATTGGAGAATAAAATATCAGAAGGAATTGTTAAAATAAAACATTTTGTAGTGAAGATTTTATAAAAAAAAAAAAATTAGGCTTAATTAAAGAAGGGTTTGATTTCAATATTTTTAGAATTTTGTTGCTAGTTTGGTCCGTTATAATTGGGAGCTCCAAATCACATTAGTTTTTTAGATTGTTTTAATACTTTATGAATTTATATTTTATAAAAAATAAACCTTATATTATTTTTTTCAGGTCCTTTAAATAAAAATATAGTGAGTGAAAAGGAAAGGTCCTAATTGGTAAATAATCTTCTATCTACAGTATTAATATATAAAATTAAATACAAATAAGGAGCCTTATTTTTTTTTTATTCCTAAGTTTCACTTGGGGCATTCATGATCATAAACACTCAACCAACTTATATTTACTTAAATTTATAATGTTATATAGAATGCTTACTTTCATGAACTTCATCAAGCGATGGGGACCTCCATACTGACTTTTCATGGTGCCATTCACCATTTTCTCCATTTCCATTATTTACAGTACCATTTGGTTTTTTATTACTGACCCAACCTGAACAAAAAGAAACTAAAAATTAGGACGAAACTGGCTGTTATCATTGAAATTTTATTTTATTATTAAGTATTAGGAATTAAAATTAATTAAGATAAAGTAAAGTTTGATGAATTAAAAAAGAAAGAAAAATATAAGAAGCACTTAACATTTCAAAATGTTTATGAATAAAACTTTGATTAAATATAATATAATATATATATATATGTATATATATATATATATATATATATATATATATATATATATATATATATACCATTTGTATTGGTGTCAGAGTCACTATATTGCTGTGTTTCATGAAGTAAAAAGTCTCCAGTTAGCCTTTTCTCTTCTGCAGCATATTTATCTCCTAATTCGGAAATGTTCATGCTGATCAAACTTGAATTATTCATATCTTCTAAATAGCCACTTTCCTGAAAAATCAGAGTTATGGTGTTGTAAAATTAATATATTATTTTATGGAAATATTGCTGAAAGAAGGAAAAATCTAGGTTGGAGATATAGCCAAGAAAAATATAATGCTTTAATGTGTGCAGGTATTATGGCCTAAGAAGTTGTCACCCTAATGAAGGCCTAGCAACTTGGGCAGAAATGTTGTCACATATTAAAACAGTAATATACCTTACTGTCTGTCTCTTTCCTCATCGCACCCAAAATCATCCTCTTAAAATATTATTTAATCGTAACACACTACTGTATTAGGTAAAAAGAAGAAATTATAAGGAAAGAAAATGGAATAATTACTTGCTCTTGAAGTCTCGAGTTTTATTAAATTGTCAAAGGATAAAACTAAATTTTACCTTTATTTGAACAGAAGAGAATGTTTGAGAATTACTGATTTCCCCATGGGTCACTGCCCGTTAAAATATCCTGAGAAAAATTAAACTTTCTGAATATCCTACCGATCTCTTATTGGAGGAGGGAGGGTATTCAATAATAATCGTACCACTGTCAAGAGAAGGCAGCCATTCTTGATAAAACAGTAACTTTAACCAATATCTTTTGTTGATGACTCTTTAGGATTAAAATCTTAAAACTTTAAATGGATATAACTGTTTAGGAGATCATCATGGATTTTATTAAGTGGATACTTGAACCTTCAATGGGGGTTGGGGTACAATGTTGAATTATTAGATATATTACAGATAAAAATAATGTTGTTACTTTTGGTTTTGCTATTTACATTGCAAAATACACACTTCTCTTAGAACCCTACATGTTATATGTGGTCATAAAGAATATGAACCCTGTTACTGTATGAAAGTAAAGACATTTTTTTTTAAATTGAATAACGAAATTAAGTGTTTTATTTTTGTCAGTCTGGTGGTTTGAAAAAAAATCTGATGAAACATTAAATTAGAAAGCTGGATTACTTTAAATGTTTCTGCAAGTAAAGTAATTGTGTTAGACCAAGAGGTTATAGAACTTGAGTTTCCTTGGTACCAGTCAGCAGCTAGAACAGATTAAAGATATGGTAGACCAGCAAGCGCACTGATTTCTTCAACATTCTTGTTTATTTTGTACACAACTAAGACAGTATGATTTCTGGAATTGTATTTTTTATTTTTTTTTTGGTCACATATTGGAAATCAATTGTACTTCTCTCCTTAGTTGGATGCCAGGTAACATGTGGTGTACTCATTTTTTGAAACGTAAATAGCATAACCAAAAATAACAATGTATTATTTTTATTTGTAATACCTCTAATAATTCAAACAACTGTTCCATTATTACAAATGATATTTCATAGTGGATTAAGCTAACAACTTTATAAGTAAACTGATACGATGGGGTGGGGTAGCCGAACAGGTTAACTCATGTGCAAAACACGTATAGCCCATCAATCTGATAAACTGAAGATAACATGGTAAAACATTTAATCCTCCACCCTCTCCCATAGTTCTGTAAAATCTTGTATAGACGAAAAGGCAAGGAAGGAGAGGACAAAATGAGACAAAAAAAAAAGTAAACTGATCCTTCAACATAGCTATGATAACGTATGTAGCTTCATAAATTATATGTGTTGCTCAGACATTCTGATAATATTATACTCATCATACAAATAAACATATTTTCTTATTATACTAATCCTTTGAATGTATTAGAAAGTAGGGTAACTCAAGATCCCAGGTTCGAAGTCCTGGCTTTATGACAGGTAAATTATTTATTCTGTCTCATCAGATGTGGATCCTGGGGTCAGGAGACCCTCCTGGGGCACATCCAGCCTCTATAAAGTAGGCAACCTTAATTAAATAATTGATTAAGAGGAAAACCTGGCGGTTGAGTGTGATCTCTGTCAAATCACCACCTTGTACAACCCTTGACCAAGAAACAGTACCTTCCCTATATAGTACTGAACACAAGACCCTTTATGGGTTGTCGTGGTGCAAGTTTTTTTTTTTAAATGTATTAGAAAGAAAAAGAATATTGTAATGTAAATATTACATAGTGATTTTGAATAGTGGCACAAAGGCAGTGACGTCACGAACAACTGTCAAAAATGGACAAAGACAGATAGAAGGAGAAGCAAGTGCCATAGGTAAGGGCAGAAGGTAACCAGCCGGCTAGTAAAGAGGACCGTGAGAAGAAAATATGAGTTAACAAGTAGTGAGTGTCTACAATTAGACGAAGACGAGAAAATAAAAGAACAAGAGAAAGTTGTAGAAATTGGATACAATATCGAGGAAGATTCACTGCAGAACAGGATGAGTGCAATATATAAATGGACGGTTCGAAATCGCGCCGAGAGTAGAACTCGACAAACAATGGAAATTCATAAATGTGCTGTATAATTAATTTATGCTTTTATATTATATAATTGAGGATGTGTGTTAGTTGTCTCAACCCAACCTGAGAAATAATTATCTTGTAAAATAAATGTGATTTGATTCAGAAACTGTTTTGTTACCTTTTCAAAGGGAACGTAACCTTACAACATGGCGCCCAACGTGGGGCTTTGAAAACAAAAGTAACCTTACAATATATATTCAATATGAAAGTTCTCGCTCAGATGTACTAGGTATACTTTAATGCTGGACATAAATAAGTTAATTTTCAAAGTATATCCCAACCTGAGTTTCTAAATATCATATTGAATAAGAAATTGTGAAAGCATTTATCTAAATAAAATCAATTAGTATACAACATTTCTAGATATTATGTATTACCTGGTGTTGATGAAAAGTATCGTTAAAAGACAAATCTTTCAGATCGGAGCTGAGATTGTCTACTCCAGATTGGTCTAGAGTTATGTTAGCTACTGCTTTCTCAACATCGTCAGTCACTACTTCCATATCCTTCACACATCTTTCGATTACATCCTCTCGGCCGATTTCTCTCAAAGCTTTTTCAAGTTTATTTCCTTAAATTAAAAAAAAAAAATCAGAAATGAAAAAAAATAAAACATATAACCTACTAGTTAACAAGATGCTTTTTTATGAAGAGTAAACATAGGTAAGATATTTGACAAAATATTTCATAGTTTATAAACATAATTACAGAAATACTGGGAGTAGGATTGATGACCCTACCCCGTACTTTAAATCGGGAATCGGGATGCGGTCTAGGAGACCACACTCGCGGTCAAAGATCTTCATGGTCTGTAGCACTAACTGAACAAAAAAAATTACAGAAATAAATTTGAGTGAATTTTAATCAGCTGAACTATTTAAATAATATATTTATATTTTGGAAATTTAATTATTTCATTATCTCTAATAATCTCAACACATTTTTTAATCTCTAAGCTATTGAATAGAATCCAATGAAAATTTGTGTGGTATTTTTTCTAAAAAAGGAATACCAAAATCATTAATTTTGTATAAAACCGTCGGTTTACAAACGTATGTCTTGTTTACATGCTAATGAACATTTAAATACACTTTTTAAAAACAGAATGGTAAGTTTTTGTTATTTTGAAGTTCTGTCCTTAAGTTAGAAAATCATTGATTTAATTTTTTTACTTTTATTTATTTTTTTATTTGATTTGATAGTCCAATATGGCTATGTTTCCATACAAGCATAAAATAACTTAAAATTTTAAGGATAACTAACAATGAAAAATTAAAACTTTAATCCCTACCACCAAACTGAATTCTCAGTTTAAACATTTATTTGTTATTATAAATAGAATATACGTTTCAATCAAAATACTTGTATCAAGCCTATCTGCTTGCTTTACAGAGAGAGCAACTGGTATTCGGAAGACCTGAATACTATAAGATTGTTGAACTATTGATAAGGTTTATAAAAATATTCCTCTATAAAGAAGTGTCATTGTATATTATGATCCCTACTCGCTAATAATCAAGACAGAATTATGTCTTATTCCATTAAAATACAAAATATATTTTAATGATGGACATGAATAAGTAATTTCAAAGCATACTGATCCGATATTCATTTTGTAAAAGTTTATTTGATGTTTATTACTTACCAGTAGCTTGAGGACCAAAGGTGTTTCTCCATAACTTCAAAGCAAGGCTGGTCCTTTGAGGGGAAGTGTAAACCTCTTCTTTGATGATACTCACGTCTTGATCGCTCAGCCCTAACCGCAGGGCGAGCGGCTCCCAATCATCTCCCAGTACCTGGCACAGGTCAGCGAGTACCATGTTTCCTTTTATCATGGTCTCTTCTGTATTATAGACTAAAATCATAAGGTTCATTTCAGAAACTGTTAAAAAATTAAGATATAAAAAATATATTAGATTCAGCCAAACTAACAAAATTTAAAGTTCATATGTAATATAAAAGGAAAATTTAAAAAGATTTTTTTTTTCATTTTAGCATCACATCTAATAATTATTATTACCAAAAAAACTCATCAAAAATATATAACATTTATTTTAATCTATTTATAAATGACCCTTGAAGTAACTAAAATAGTTAAAAAAAAAAAGCATAACTCAAAAATAATTTTGGGAAACATTTTATCTAATTTAATTCCTTTCTGATAAAATCTACGAGTACAAAATTGAAAAATTTCCATATTCAACATCTCTTAGTAAAACTAAAAACCTAAAAGTTTTCTCAGCAATTGGAATATAGCCTCAATAGAGAAGAGTGGATGGACAATGAACTTTTCAGCAGTAAATGATTTAAAAACTATATTCCGTATGTTGGAACAATTTAAAAATTAAATTAGAAAAAATATTAGTCCTATACCATTGAAAGCTAGCCTTACCAATAAAATAACAAACTATCTTTCTGACATGAAATATGAATAAATTAAAATGTTTTCTCATTCCCTTGAAAATTGATTTATCTATCGTCGGTTGTTTTTGATTTCCCAAATTTAACCATAATATCATCAAGAATTCGTTACTTAGAATATCAAACTTTTTCTTCTTCTTTAACAGCACGACAGATATATAAAGCGATCCTTGGCCTGCTCAATTTTTTTGCTTCTAACGACCATATCTGCAGCATGTGCTATACTCTTATGCCTGCATGTCTCATGTCTGAGAGGAAACCATCCTGCCAGCGTGATATCGTTCTTCCCCTGGGTCTTGTCCCATCTGGCACTTTTAGAGTAGTCTTCAATCTTGATGACGTGTCCAATCCATTTTAGTCTCTGCAATCTGACAAGGTTGGAGATACTCAAATCTTGGTATTCACTGCAAAACTCCGAATTTCGGCACAAATGCCAAATATCTTTGACTGGTCCTAGAATGCATCTCAAGATCTTCCTATTGAAGCGATTAAGCCTTTGTGCAACTACTTTTTTAAATGTCCAGGTTTCACATGCGTACGTCGCTATTGATCTTATAAGACATTTATAAAATCCTATTTTAGTAGTTCGACTTAGTAGTTTGCTTCTAATAATTTTAGCCAGGGAAAAATAGGCTCTATTGAGTGCAGCTAATCTACATCCTATTTCAGCTTCTTCCATCCTTTTTGTGATCACTTTTATAGAATTTACTTAGAAAATTTTATAAAATTTATTTCTCATAACCCTCTATCTTTTTATATATATAATATAACTCTAAAAATATTACATAAAGCAAACACACAAAAATAATTTAATTGAATACTCATTAGTTTAACAAAATATAATATTAAGGAAAAAAATAGGCTGGGTAGTGGTCATAAAAAACTTAAAATAGTGGAAAAACTACCATATTCATCCTGGAACATCTCTTTCTATGCATTGTGTGTGGAAAACTTTTTTTTTTTATAGTGTTTAGAATAACTTTATATCAATATATCTATCAGAACATTCAAGATGCTCACTAGAAAAACAATCTTATTATCTACAAAACTAAAATTGTAAAAAAAATCTTAAATTCACAAATATTAATGAAAGATATAGAAAAAAATTTTTATATTAGACTCAGAATCCAAAGTTATAATAAAGGCATAGTGATTGGATATACTAGATATGTTTTAATATTTTATTTTGTGTAAGTTCCATTTATATCAGATTACTATTTTCAGTGCCACCGAATAAACATACATTAAGGCCAAGTACATTTTAAAGCCAATTAGTTACCTGTTAGTTATAATTTTTTTTCGGAATAGAATAATATTCAATAATAACATAGAATAATATAATATACATGAAAGGTAATAAAAACACATATGAAAACAAATTTATTAGAAGTTTTCAAATTATAATGAAAATAGAAAATTAGTACCATAGATTTAATGGATAACAATATATATATAAAAATATTTCAATATAATTTAAAAAGAAAGCTCAAAAAGAGATATATTCTAATAAATAAATTTGAACAAAACATCTTAATAAATATTAGATAATTGAAGAATTTTTAATACCAGGTTGAATATTCCTAGGCAGGGAATAAGATCTCTCGCTTAAATACAGATCACTGCCGTATGGTGTTCCATCTTTAACAATGTTATCCGGTAACACTATATTGAGGGTACACACCGCGGTTTGTAAAGGTTCACCTCTAGCAACCTAAAAGTGAAGGAAACCAGAAAATGAATATAAATAATTTTTTTTTTAAATTTTTTTATGATAGAATATTATAATAGAATTATGTACTCACTTTAGGTTGCGACATAAAAAGAAGCCTTGCGACAGGTTTGTCGTCAGAATCCCTCAGGCGGACAGTAAAAGGTAGCCTGTTCTCTTTGAATGCTGTGAAATTGACAGAAAGCTGCTCGCCTGACTTCGTAACAGGTATCAAATTTCCAGCAAACTCTAGATATATAGGCTTTCCTTCCAAAACCTAAAAAAAAGAAACTCGATTAAATAAAATATTGGCATTGTTATAACGGAAGAAGTAACAAATGCAACTACACTCGCAGTTCACCTAATTCTGACTAATTCTCCCCATTAACTCAAGGTTTACTTAATCACCATCGTTGCTCATAATAATCAGAGCCTCGAATTCAGCAAATGGTGTAAAAATATACAATTAAATAACAAAATTGTGTAATAATTATTTTTGAAATCACTATAATATAATAAGTATTTAATTGTTAAGATTAAGAAAAAAAAAGTAAGGAAAACCAAATTAGACATCAGTATGAAAAAAGTATAATAATTTATGTAACCATAGAAATATAAATCATGAAATATTTTACATAAATTATTTTAGTAAAAGGCAATTTGTTTTTCCTTGGAGATTTCAAGATGTCAAAGTTTAAATTTGTATTCAGTGACACGAAATACTTAAATAAACTTATGACATTGCTAATACTCCTCTAAAAAATTTCTCTAACTTGTAATCAATTGATTATATTCATTATTTTTTTCTTAAGTCTGTTTTATTTTTTCTCTTCAGGTATTACCTATAATTTATTTTTCTTTATAATATATTTAACAAAAATGGCATGTATTAAAACATTCAAATACATATGTATGTTTTAATGAAAATTCAAAATAAAAATGGATTTAATTTTGCATAGATAAACCAAGTTGGAAAGTTGCTTACAAACAAAAGCAGAATAAGCTCATTGAAAATAATTCAATTGAGATATCCAACAAGAGTATTACAATATTTGAGAAAATATAATTGCTCTCCGAATTCTTAAATTAAAAAAAATATTAGAATAAAAATAGTTTCCCTCTTACTTCAACATCTCGACTTTTAGCCACTTCCGTAAAGTGTTCCTGATGTTCGAGTGTTTTATCTTCCCTGTCATCAGTCATTACAAATACCCTCAACCTTGCTTCGAATGAACTGACTCGTTTAGCATAAACAACAAACCTGAAAAAAATAATTAAAAATTGAAATAAATATAAATGTAAAAAATGTATAAATTGGATTAATAAAATGTTTTTTTTTTATTCTTACTTGGCCATAAAGGGGACGTGGCTAGCTTCATTATAAAGTTGAGAAGCCATGTTAGTGGCGTTACTAACATTACGACAATCCATAAGCCAAAACCTGGCCGATACTGTAGTCGTGAAGGACACGCAATCTTTAACAAATGTTAATGGAGTCGAACCAGTCACATCTTCCCACTGAGCCTTCGCATTGCCTCCTAAATAAAACAAATAGCACTTATAATATATAAAAATAAATCACTTCAATATTTTCTTTGCCAAAAACATTTTAAATAAAAATTAAGCCAACAACTTTTTTAAGTAAAGAAAAGCTTAAAGAAACATATGTATTTTCTAAGAGCTATTTTCAATAAGGTAAACAAATTTATAGATTCGTAATCGTACCTGTAATGCTGCATAATAAACGAAGGGTGGGAGCCTCGCCACTATACTGGTTGATCATGCCCTTATTGGCTGCAGTAGGGACAGGTAATGTAAGTGTAATCGGTTTATGGAATTTCCTTCTCCTCGGTTCTACAGTGACAATCGGTGAAATACCAACACGGTTACCTAGAAGTCTTGATACTAAATCATTGTTGATTGGTTGTGCCTGGAATAAAAAGCGATCCTTAAATTACAACACTGTATTATGAAACTAAATTATTTTATAAAATAATAACTATCTCTGATTGCTTCGATCAGCTCTGATGAAGGCCTGAACTTCGGGTCGAAACACCGACAAATGTTAAAATAAATATTATTTATTTTTGCCATTTTTATTATGACTGATCACCTTGAACATCCTTCTCTTCATTATAAAATAATAAATTTGTTGTCATATAAAGTAGATATTTTTGGTTTTTACTTATCTTCTGATCTGCGAGTATTTGTTTCTATATATATATTTTAAATATTTATGTTGAAGAAATATTGGCAAAAATTATGATTTATCTTGAAAACAGGACATTTTTGCTTTAAAATGCAGGACTTGTAGCCCAGGAAGGAGTCAGGGCCCAAAAATCGACCTGCTCGCAGGTAAAGATTTGGATGTAAATTATGAAAGCGTATGTTATTCTAAGCAAATGAACCATGTCAGCTATTCCAGAGCCGCTGTTTTAAAAATGGCGGCTGATTTAAAGAATATTAGGCCAGTAACTTAAGGATCAAAACGGAAAATATATTATGAAAAAAGTGGGGAAAAGTTGTCATTTTTTAAACTTTTGTATATGGGTTTAAACATGTAGAATCCTAAATTTTTAACTCGAGCAATCAAGGGAAAACTTTTTACAGTCAAAAAAGCCATATATTTTTTATATTTTTCTGTTTTTTCACATAGAAATGATAAATGGTGCATCCAAGCGAAAAATGTATTCTTTTAAGAAATTAAAGAAGATTAAATTACCTAAACTTGACAATTTGGTTAAGTGGTATGGTAGAAAACCATGGTCAACAAACACTGAGTTTTACCAAATTTGTCAAAAACTGAAACAAATTACTCTATATGGCCCTGCAGTTTGGGAATGAGTTTTCTAAGAGAAAAACTAATAGAATCGAGCATGAAATTCTGTGTCTACTGAGTACCAACAGTTTTAATGTAGGTCCATTATAGCTCTTGAATTGGGATTTGTTATTTTTTTCATGAAGATCAGTTTCTTTTGACACCTCATTTCTCAAAATCCTTTGCTGTTGAGAGAAGAAAAAGAGGTCTATACTGCACATACCAGATTCTAAATAACAATAACTGAGTAGAATAAACATACATACTGTTAAAATATTGAAAATCACACATACCTTCATTACCAATTCCAAGCCATCGAGAGATTACAGATATTGTGCAGAGTAAGATAAATTAAAACTGTTGGTATTCAATGGACGCAGAATTTCATGCTCTAAAACTTTGATTCTATGAGTTTTTCCTCTTAAGGGACTTATTTCCAAGCTACAGTGTCATTTAGAGTAATTTGTCTCAGTTTTTGAAAATTTTTATAAAAATCAATGTTCATTGACCGTGGTTTTCTACCATACCACTTAACCAAATTTATTAAGTTTAGGTACTCATTTGATGCACAATTTAACGTTCTTTAATTTCTTAAAGAGTAAATTTTTTGCTTTGATGCACATTTTGGGAGTTGTGTGTGAAAGAAAAAAAAAAGATCAAAAATTTTTTTCGGCTATTAGAAGTTTTCCCTTGATTGCTCGAGTTGAAAATTTTGGATTTTGTATGATTGAACCCATATACACAAGTTAAAAAAATAACAACTTTTCCACAGCTTTCTTAATATAATTCCTACCAATTTGATACCTTATTTATCAAAATCTATTGCTCCTGAGAGCTGGAAAAATGATTTATGCACTATTTATAGTGTAGATACCAGTATGTATATACATAACTATGTACTTAATTTATAATTTTACTATTCCTATTTAAAGTACACTAAATAAATATTATTAACATTTCATATAAAGTTATTTGATATTACATAAGCTATTCATAAATTTACATTACTTATTTCAACAAAATTAATTAAAAATTAGGTATATCATCCATAATAATCAACTTATTCGATTTCAATTTTGGACAAAACAATGATAAAAGGTTCTTCATCATTTAAAAATAAATTAAATTTTTATCTTCTGGTTAAAACTTTGATGATTTTTAAATTTACCTATTCACAGAGAAACTTCTTTGTTAAGCAAAAAATTATTTACAGGATAGACTTCTTTTTAATGTTTTAGGATAAGAAAACATAAATGACTTCAAAATAACTTACTTGAAGGCCAACTCTAATTTTCTTGGTAAGAGCATTTGGTGGGAAAATGGCTTGGACTTGAGGAACGGCGGATGACGAGACCACTCCTCCTTCGGGACCAATCACATGTACTTCCTGCCTGAGTCGAGACACAACGGCCAAATATTGGGGAAGTTCGGTGGTAACTATCCGTGCGATACGCTGGCTGTCATCTAATCGATAAGATAGCAAAATTATTTTTTTTGATACAATACCTGCTAAAAGCTTTAATTTTACAGTAACGTAATAATATTTAAAAAAGTAGAGATTCATAATAGTAACCATGGGATTGAACTTTTTTACAATTACCATTCTCTGAGTAGTTTCTATCTTAATCTGATATTAATAAAATGAAAAGTTAAAAAAATTAAATTAAAAAAGTTTATGAAATTTGAAAACAAACAAATTTAATAATAACATATTTTTGTTTTAGCCTTCATACTAGTTTTAAGGTTGGAAACTATCTTACAATATATCTTTAATTTATTTTTTCATTTAATTAGTTCAATCTACTAAGTTTCAGCCTATGTAATTGATGAGACCAAGATACAGCACGGAAGGTCATCAAAACTCTTAAAAAACATGGTAGAATTTATGCTACTGATGATTTAAAACAATAATCGAAAACATAATTTTTAATTGATCATAAATAAAATTTCAAAATATTGCATTTTAATTTGAAACTATAAAACTGAATTCATGAAACTTTGTGGAATAATTCTATATCAGACTGTATTAACCAAACAATAAAATTAAGTAATAACATAAGTTTAATTAATAACAAATTATATTTAAATATATTAATAATTACCATCTGCTTGAAAACTGTGGTTAAGAATATCTTGAACAGCATTCTGGCTTTCTTCTAAGCAGTGTTCTTTCCAGGTCGTTCCATTGTCGCTCCTCATGACTATAAGCTCCCTCTCTTTTCCTCTTAGCGACACGAAATGGGGGACTTCAATGATGATTGGCCTAATAAATCAATATCTCATATAGCTTTTACAAGATGAAAATATCTAATAATGCAGTCAAGTCCTAACTAAATATAAATGGTAAAAACAATTTTTAAAAAACTTTCAGATTCAAACTTGAGCAAGAAATTAAAACAAAAATTTACCCCAAGAACTTGGTACCAGCTGGTGACAGCTCAATTAGTCTAGATGCGAGGGCCTGGGCTTCAGACAGTGGTGGAGAGATCGCACCTCGACTTCTCAAGTAACGACAGGTGAGCCTTAAAGGAGCAGGAGCAGCTCTCGGCGGTACCACTACGTTCAAGCCGGACCTCCTGCAGCCACGCATCGCTCCTCCTCGGGCATCCACCAAAAAGCTTACCAGGAAACTAAAAATACAAATCTTCATTATTTAGTATTTAAGATCAAAATTAAATGGGAACCATTATTAAAAATACATAAATGAATTCAAATCAGATATGTGTATATTGTATTTTTAACTAAAATTATACTTCTTTTTACAGCTATCTCACAGTTATCTACATTGCATATCCATGCATATCGGTCCAAATTTAGAAAACTTTCAAATCATCATGTAAATATTCAATCAACCGTAAATTTAATAGATTTTGAATTATGTGCAAATAAAATTTTCTTTTCCTCATAACTATTTTCTCTGGTTTTTTTTCTAAGGAATAAGATTATTTTTTGGTACTGATGGAGAAGATAATCTTCAAAATGTTGGCTCAGTCATTAGATTTGATGAAGTATTAAAGTATATAAAACCAAAAGCATGATTTGAGAAAAAGAAAATAATTAAAAAAAAAAAAAAAATACAGCTTAAAGCTTTTGAAGTTTGATTGTGGAATTTAATATTTAGAACAAAAATGTAATAATACTGCTATCTCTTTGAGTTACCAACATATAAAGTTACAAAAAAAGAAGTAAAATAAACAAAAATATTGATTTCAATTAATTACCAACTATTTAACAGTCAATATTCCTATGCTATAGCTTTATAAAAATATCTGTTTTACAAATATTTATATCAATTTAAATTAACAATAATAGTAAAAAATAAAAAAATATTTTGATTTTGAAGAAAATATTAATTGTTTGGATACAATAGGAAAAATTCCAATCACATAGCCTTATATCTCTAAAAAGAAGATAAAAAATAAAAAACCGTCATCGTTTCACCAATTGAGACATCATCAAGACAGAAAAGAAAAGCAAATTGAAGATGACATTATACCATGACGTCTAATCGTATGCTCATTGATGATGTCAGAGCTGGCGAAACATTGACGATTTTTTTAATTTTTTATCTGCTTTTTGAAGCCATAAGGCTTTGTGCTTGTAATTTTCCAATTATAGCCTAACATTAGATGCCTTTCTCTTGGTGAGTTTTTTTTACTGATTCATAAAAAAATATTTAAGTTAATACATAATGAAGAAATAGTTTATTTTACCACAATGGCTATAGGATATTAGAACTTCACAATCCTACCAACTTCACAAACCATGTAAAAGCAAATCTTGAACTTATAGCTAATTACAATGAAAGTACACACAAAAAGTTAACAAAAAACAAAACATCTCTAACAAACACAAAACAAAATTAAATATAGCAAATAAATTAGCGTAGAAACAACGAAAGAAGAAAATTTATTTAAAATCCTTCCGATTATTTCATATGTTCTTTTTAGCTGACTTCTAGAGCATCTTCATCTTAATTTTTTTATAGTTTAGGTTCTTAGTAAAATATTTCTGGACCGGTTCCAATTCAATAATAAAACATTATTTACAACTTTTGTATTGAACAAACCAAAAAAGTAAATTGTGGTTGTTGAATAAAATCTCTTTATTTTAGTGCAAACATTAAGAATTTGAATTTAATAACAGAATTTGATGTCATTTTCCCATCTACACCTCAAACGCCTCCACCTAACACTTCCTTCTGAATTCCAAAAATCTTTGCTATATATACTTTATAAAACAAATTTCACCTTTATCATAAATTCAGAATTCATTGCAGAATAAACAAGATGGTCCTTTTGATTGAAAATATTCCAAATATTATCTATTTATTCTAATTTTTATTTATTTCGTGTTCTAATCAATTTTTATTTTATATTTGTTTGAATTTAAACTAGCTTAATAATGTTGTTACTGGTTTCTATAATATTTTGATATTTTTACATCTCAAAAACACAGACTTTACTTAAGACACATACCTTGCTACAACTAAAAGATTATTTACACTATATACAATCCCAATTCAAAAACACTAAAAATAATTCGGAAATACCACAGTAATATACAAAAATATATAATAAAAAAGCTAAAAACAATAAAGCAAATAAATTGTATGATAAAACAGCAATTATGAACTAAAATTTTAAATCTTAATTTATTTATTTATTAGAAAGCCTTTATATGTACAGTGCAAAATAAATGTAGTTACTGTGCAAAGATGATTTATTAGTTTTCATATAATTAAAAAATATATACACACAATTTATACAATTTATTTAAAAATAAATATAACACTTATTAAAACCGAAACATGCAATAGTTAAGATGATATGATATTAAATTATATGATAAAAAATAACAGCACGAAATGAAAAACGTCAATGATGATAAAATGTGTTTAGTCTGATTTTTCCCATTACGACAATGACAACAAAAAAATGTTGAAGCTATTTCACATCTAAACAGTTACGAGCAAAAAATAGCTAGCTACCAAGCAGCATGACATACATTAGTTCGGATTAACTTACTTTGTCCATTGACCTTTGCTGTTTGGTAAAGATCACACCGAAAACAACAAAAGAAAACAATATATCAAAAACTGAAACGAAACAATGTTAATTAAAAAAAAAACACTATTTAAAAAAAAAAAGCATGAACATATAAAAAAGTTATACTCTTAAAGACTTAAAGTTAAGTATTTATATGTTCATGCTATATAAAAAAAAAAATTACAACATTTCTGTTTTAATTTTTTAAGAAAAAAAAATAAAACTGTTAGAATCAGTCAACATATGTTATGACACCACCGCAATCTATACCTGTCTCTGCACATCCCGGCGCTCTTTCCCTCACCGAGTCTCCTCAGTGTAAGATTGAGGTTACGTAACCTAATGGATATAAGCACACAATGTCAGTGCACTTATCTCATAAAAAAAAAAAAATTAAAATAGTAAAACCAAAATACTTTATCACAAAACCTCACATTTCACATGGTGTTAGTTAGTCCAGTCGCGACTGGATATATCCATGTTTAAAAAAAAAAAACATGCAGAGATTACTGTTATACAGAAGCTGTACAGTCGATCGAATAAAAATAGATATTTTTAAAAATAGGATAGATTTGAAACTGGAGAGAGAAAACGTTTATAGTTTATAAATAATATGCAATTCTAAAAGTCTTTAAATAAAATGGTTGAGAAAATAATTCATGATGTGCAAACAAGCAGTGTAACATATTCATCAAATCTACAAGCTTACTCTACATTATTGTTCAAACAGTATTACACAGAAATATCAGCCACTCCTTTTTTGAGATTTAAGGGATTTATATTATCAAAGAAAAAAATCCTGAGCTTTATATAACATATGTTTTATCAACTTATAGCATTGATCAATATTGTTCAGAGATATACTAAGCATAATCAAATTAGCATCTGTGAGTCTTGAGTCCAAAAAGATCACAAAAACATGGCATAAAAAAGAAAATTCATTCTGAATATCACTGATTACTTTACGGCAAAATGAGGAAAAACTGAATTGTAAGAGTAATGATGGTTCATCAAAATCTTAACAAAACACGCAGCAGAAAGTTTTCAATATTATGTGGTTTACCTATCCCTGGACTGTATACTTATGTTATAAAAAAATTTATTTAAAAAAATTAACTCAACAGAAATAAATAAAAGTCATTTAGCATTTTCAAATCAAAGATATTAACTTAAGCATGCGCCGAAACCTTACTTCCATGCATATTGGAAAGGATATGGAACATATGTTTAGGAACAAAAATAAGCATACTGATAATTATAAATTAAAAAATCAATGAACTCTTTTATATTTATTGTTCTGACCTTAAGCCTATTACATATAAAGTTTCCTGACGAGAGATACAGTTTTCTCTCAAACCTGGATGAAGGGATCAAAAGATTGACTTAATGTCAAGTTAAAGCATTTCATTTATATTCCTACAGTATACAAAGACAATCCACACAAAAACAACCTATTGCTGAAATACACACTCCAACACTGGAGCTATAATGCTCAATGATGTCACCAAAAACAATCTTCAGATCTGGTTCGTTGGCTTCATCAGACAAAGTTTTAAGATCAAAATAGCTTCAGTTTTCTTTTAGAACTTTTTTCTTCATCTTCTAGTTAATGTTTATGTAATCTTCTATGTAATACTGATTACTGTTAAATTCCAGAAGGACAGTCTCAGAGAATTTGATTTGCAAATTCAAACCATACGAGTATAATATTGTAACAGGTAGTTTGGGATATCGCAGAAGCTGTAAGTGAACATTCAGAAACTACCTTTAAATCGGGAAAGGAGTACTTTTTTGTTGAAATGGATGGAATGGGCAACAGCCATTATCTGCCTAATACATAAGAAAAGAGATCAAACAGAATGCACTAACTATAGAGGAATCTTACTCCTTTCATGTGCTTATTGGCTACTCTCTAACATTCTTTTTGAGAGGATCCTCCCGTATGCTGAAAAGGAACTGGGAAAATATCAGACTGAATTTCAATGAGGACGCTCAACCACTAATCAATTGTTCTCCCTCAGGATGATGATAGAAAAGAGCAAGAAGCGTAAGGTAGTCACCCACTATTTATTCGTGGACTTTAAAGCAGCATACGACAGCGTTGATAGAACACAACTGTACAGTGCCTTGGAGGAGCTAAGCATCCCTCAGAAGTTCATACGCCTAATCAAGATGACCATGGACAGCTCAAAATGTAGAATATGCATCGGTTCTGATGCCTCTGAAGAGTTTAAAGTGAGCAGTGGGGTTCGGCAAGGTGATGCCCTCGCCTGCCTATTATTCAACTTGGCAGAGGAGAAAGCTGTAAGAGATGCCGGTATTCAGACCAGCGACATAATCTGCAATCACCTGACACAGCTTCTTGGTTCTGCTCATGATATTGATACAATAGGAAGATCTGAACGGGCTCTCAGAGAAGCATTTACAGTCCTTGAAGCATCTGTAAGAAGACTTTTTCTAGTCTAGAAGTCAATGAGAAGAAAACCAAGTATACAAGAGTTGGTGGTGAGGTGGATTCGAACTCTCCATTTGAGGTAGGTTCTTTTAAGTTTGAGAGAGTAAAAAGCTTTATATAACTTGCGTTTGAAGTAAATAGCAAAAATGACATGGCTCAAGAAATACAGAGAACGATCACGGTTGCCAATAGATGTGTCTTTGGACTTGTCATCACTTTAGAAGTAGGTATCTCTCAAAAAACCTGAAGTAGGAAGGTCTGATGAAGCTGAGTGTGTTTGAGCGAGTCCTCAGAAGGATCTATGGTCCAGTAAAGGATGGTGAGGAAAAGAAAAAATAGGGAGCTCAGTTCTCTTCATACAGATATTGATGTAGTAACCTGCATTAAACTTGCCAGACTAAGGTAGGCAGGGCACGTGGCCAGAATGAGTGCCTTTGAAATACCCAAAAAAGTAATGATTGAGGAGATGCACCTTGCAAGACGGGTAGGAAGGACGAGGACGAGATGGTTGGACAATGTGGCCTATGACGCGAGAACCCTGCTTGGCGTACGAAACTGGAGAGCTGCAACAGAAGACAGAGCCAACTGGCGGAGGCTCTTGGAGGAGGCCCAGTCTCGGTAATATGATGTCGTGTCACATATGTATGTAGGTTAAATTCCAGAAGGACAGTCTTAGAGAATTTGATTTACAAATTTAACCATACAAGTATAATATTGCAACAGGTAGCTTGGGGCATCGTAGAAGCTGTATGTGAACATTCAGAAACTACCTTTAAATTGGGAAAGAAATACTTCTTTGTTTGATTTTCTGGCACTTGTGCTCCATTTAGTGCAATAACTTTTTGCCTAGGTACATATAAGCTACTCCTTTTCCTGCTAAATAGACTGTCTGGTTTGTATTATCCGTTTCTTAGTTTTGAATAGAATGAGAGAGATATGAAGATCATGGACTTTATCTGACCAATTGTTCAGCTGATCAATTCCAAGAAATCTTTTCAGATTAATGTTAACCCAATTATGCACACAGTATTTTTTTTAAATTTCATTATTTTTATTTTTAAGAAATATAAAATTAATCTTCCAACCAATTTGAAATAAAACAATAAGTCATCTACACTTGAAGGATCACATTATATTTATGTTTACATTATAATAAGCTCTATGTTTCAAAACAATGGTCCAATTTTGATGATTTTTTTTTTTTTAGTAACCTTTCAAATAATCATTGGGGCAATCAGCAATACAATTTATAGTTTTGGAGTACCTATTTTTCCCACCTGAAGGAGAGCGAAATCTTCAAAATTATAATTCTATCATTTGATGAACAATTAATGAAGATATGGCATACCAAAAAAAAAAAACACATTTGGGAAACAATATATTAAGATACATCTCCTCTCTTATTCATAGGAGCCTAGTAGGAAACATGTGATATGTATCCTATACTACAATTAAGGAAATACTGAAATTAAGATGAACTTGTATGGCTTTGAACTGTTTAACTTGTATTATTTCAAAAACTGCAATACAGGCCTTAATAAGTTCTTCAGAAACTTAACTGGGTCTTGATGTCCAAACCAAAATCTTCAAAACCCAATTAATCCCCGTCTCAATCCAACCAATGTCCCAGTATTGAAGCCTAGTGAAATGTGTAATTTGACTTTATTTATAATTTGAAGAAAATAAACAAAACACAAAATATGATTCATTAATCCCAGTGAAATTCTAACTGACTCATGGCATTTGAGCCTGACAGGAGCATACATTTTGTACAAAACTGATATTGAGCCTTACTAGAATAAAATCTGTGGGAAATAGTATGAGTAGAACTTTAATTTTGAAGAGAATTGACCATAAAACAATCTATGCCCCATGAAGTGAATTTCTTGAGTATCTGGCAGACACAATAGCAGCTAATTTAAAAAACAAAAAGAAATCAAGTGTTAAAAAATGAAAGTGATACAAAATGAATATTTTTCAAGAATTTACTTCCTTCTAGACATTGAATTTTTATTGAATTGAAAAACTTGACCATTGGAAGATTGTATAACAGCCAAGGAGCATATTTTCATTTATTGATATCATTGTGTTAAATTTATTAATGTTTAAATAATTTTATTACTTCCTCCACAAAAAAATTAAACAATATAAGATTGATAATAATGAATAAAAGAAGGAAACTTTGTCGGTCCTAGAAACAATAAAATAAAGATACAATTAAATTTTCTAATTATTACAAGCAAATATCTTAAGTGAAAATAGTGCATTCCATATATTAACTAAATTAGAGTATTCATCTTAGTTTACACCAACACCTTTGATTTAGGGTAAAATGTAGTGCTATACATTCATGCGGTGATGTAACATAACATATTTACAATTATTTTTCAATTGTCCTGATAATTTTTAAAATATATTAAAGAAACAATTTATCATTGAATGTTTTATAGGATTAAAAGCAAAAAAAAACTCTTATGAATAGCAAACAATTTATGAAACATGACTATTTGATAACATACCCAACATGAACCGGTGTCTGAACTATTTCCACATTGTCCGGCTGGGAACTGTTCAAGAGGTTCTCTTTCTTCTGAAAGGCCATAGGTTCTCCGACTGGAACTACATTTAATAATCAACATCAAGCAACGTTTTGACACAAAACAAGGGATCAAAATAAAGGAATTGTTGTTTTCTCTCAGTGTCAACTAGACTAGACATTTTATATTGCTATTGACACAAAAGTAAGCAAACAGATAGATGGAATGCTAACACAGGTGGTATGAGGAGACATTTTTGAAAAAATCTCAATTAAAAAAAAAAGAAGAAAAATATGAGAATTATATAACTAAACTAATAAATATTTTTTAGAATCATCTTGTATTAACTACAAAACCAGCATGAAAAAAACAAACAATTTTCATGTATAATTGACAGAAAGACAACTATTCTGAAATTTAATTTTTTTTTTTTTTTTTTTGTCTGTCTTATTTTAAGTAAATCAATTAATTCATATAAATATATCTTGAAAACTTATTTTGATATTTTCACAAGTAAAAGAAGTATAATATTTTGTTCATAAAATGAATGCTCAGCACTTTCTCAGTTTAGTTACCTCCCACAATTTGGCAGACTTATTTTATCCTTTCTAGTTCATCTATCATTATCTATTGTATTGACTTTATCTCTGCTTTTTACATTAATACTTTTTACTATTTCCCATATTCTTATTGTATGTAGTGATCTTTCAGTGTAACATTCCATTATTTTGTTAAATATATTAGTAAACCAACCGTTTGTTCTGTTAAATTCTATAAAATTTCAAAAATAAGTCCAATTTGATACTTATAAATTTATTTGTTACAATTAATTATTGCTAAAGTAAAGTAATATGAAAATAAATAATTATAAATTAAAAAAAAAATACTCTTTCTTGTTTACATTATATTGCAAAAAGAAATAATTTATTAAAAATACTTAGTTTAGCTGCAAAATTAAACAGAAAATTCTTTAAATTTTAATAGAATCACAATAAGAAATAATAAAGTGTAATAAATAAAAAATTATCATTCAGTTACAACAATCTTAATAAAAATGGAATTTTAAAAAGAGCTAATATAACCTGACTATAACCTTTAGGATGAGAAAGAAGGGTCAGGTTCCTTAACTTAGGTAGATAAATAAACTTGGCAGTTCCAAATATTTGACATTTTGATATAAATATTTAGTTGAAATTGAAACAAGAAATTCAAAGAGTTTAATTCTAGTCAAATATATATTAAGTAAGGATTTAGACAAATTGAGTCAAGTTTTAAGTTTGAAAGCCCAAGGTGATTAGTAGTCACTCGTGTTTCCTTCAAATTTAAAACTATCCATACTATACATTTGATTCAAATTAAAGTATTTGAATTTCTTGTTTCAATTTTAACTAAGTGTTTATACAAAGTTGTTACTAGGGGCTTAAAAAGAATATTAAAATATTTGGAACTTCCTTATTTATCGATTGAATTTGTGATGCATGTCACATACCATACATATTAAACATGTTCTAATTTGCTACCTCTCCATAAACTTGTTCATTTTAAATTTTAATCAACTTAAAAATATTATGTTAAAATGTTTAATAAAGGCAAAAAATATACTTAACTTTGATAATTCATTTACATTATTATAGTATAAATATATAATTAAAACATGAATCACTACTATTAAATTTTATTCACCATGCTCACCTAACAGATAAACAAACCCCCAACCTCAACGAGCCATAAGACTTACAAGATCGCAACTTTACCAATAGTCAGTAGAAGTCAATAATATTTTACTTTAAAGAAAATAAATATTTATACACGATAATGTGTTTGGAAATTAACTATAATAATAAATTTACTCGAAATAACCATATTGAGTTTAATAAAGGCAAAAAAATATACTTAACTTTGATGATTCATTTACATTATTATAGTATAAATATTTAATTAAAACATGAATCGCTACAATGAAGTTTTATTCACCATGCTCACCTAACAGATAAACAAACCCCCAACCTCAACGAGCCATAAGACTTACAAGATCGCAACTTTACCAATAGTCAGTAGAAGTCAATAATATTTTACTTTAAAGAAAATAAATATTTATACACGATAATGTGTTTGGAAATTAACTATAATAATAAATTTACTCGAAATAACCATATTGAGTTTAATAAAGGCAAAAAATATACTTAACTTTGATGATTTATTTACATTATTATAGTATAAATATTTAATTAAAACATGAATCGCTACAATGAAGTTTTATTCACCATGCTCACCTAACAGATAAACAAACCCCCAACCTCAATGAGTCAAAGATCGCACCTACTTATAAGATCGCAACTTTACCAATAGTCAGTAGAAGTCAATAATATTTTACTTTAAAGAAAATAAATACTTATACAAGATAATATGTTTGGAAATTAACTATAATAATAAATATACTAGAAATAACTATATTGAGTTTATTCTATATACTAATCTGAACATAGTTGACATTATTAGAGCATTGGATTGACTTTCATATTGAACTCAATGGATTAGAGGGAATTTAATTGCTATTATAAATACATACACTCTCGAATTTAATCTAAACAATGCTTTCAAGTTACAGAAGCAAATTTTATTTAAATCCAGAAAGAACTTGGTAATTATTTAGATGAGGAGTGTGTGATGAGGGTAATTATTTAGGTCACGTGTGGTTCACAATCACTTCGGTCACACTTGTTCATGGAGTGCTGAATGCATTCCCCTTTATCCAAAATAGTGTTTTTGGCGTTTCATGTACAAGTGTGACCAAAGTGATTGTGAACCACACGTAACCCGTGCACTCCTCATCTAAATAATCAGAAATTTATATTTATATATATGTAAATTTGGCATGTAGCATAACTCAAGTTGGTTGATAACATGAAAAATGGTGATGCCAAATATATACAAAGGGCTACTTTATGAAAATATAAATACGTGTGTGTGGGGAGAGGGCATATATACAATACAATAGTCTAATTTAATCTTTAAATTGAATTTAACGTGCTTACAAATTATTTTATAGGTATACCTTGCTCCATCTGCTGTAGACTGAGCTATAAACAAATAAATAAATCCCAACTTTTTGCAAAAATTGAATTCAGTCATTGGCCAACTCATTCTTTTTAAGTTTGACTAAAAATAAATTTATACTTAAACTGGTTATTACTTCATTTTTACAATGAAGGAAAACATAATATTGTTAATAGTTATTTTATAAAATAACTAAGATTTTTAGATGAATATAATTTAAATACCTTTCATATCCAAATATTTAATTTGTTCAATAAATAAATAACAGAATAATGGTTATAACTGTACAAATGTTTATAAATATCCTTACTGAATGAATCCCTGTTATGGTCATTTTCGTCCCGAGTAACATCAATTTTAACTGAATCATCTCCGAGGGACTTCATATCGTCGACAGTCATATAACGATATTGTTGCTGGTCACTAAGCATAGGATCTTCCCCTGTAAATTCAAATAAATCTTAAATAATTTTAATTTACAAATAAGATCTTACATTTTTTCATTGTATTAAAAAAAATATATTAACAAGAAATAAAAAAGCTGCAGCTATAACTTTGAAATGCAGTGTAAATGCTATCTTTTAACAGGATATAATTAAACAGCTGACTATCTCGGCACTATAGCGTGTTCAAAATATGATTTTTAGCTCATAAACATCAGAAATGCTATTATTACTAAAGCTACTGCTGCGACTAAGAAATAAAAAATTATCACATCTGTTGCAACAGATCAGTAAACATTTTAAAGGCAATGGCATTTTTATTTAAAACCAATAAAAATACTTTTTAAAACTTTTTGGTTAGTGTTTAATTTAATCAAGAAGTAATCTAAAAATTTTCAAAGGATCACTTATTACTAAAGAATTAGAGTATAATAAATCTAGCTAGATCAATAGTAGACAAAAATTTTAATAATATATAATATATAGACCATTAAAATTATATGTGTACATCATGAGCCATTAAAACTCCATACACATATAATTTATAATTTCAGAATAACTGGAATAGCAAGAATCATTATATTAAAATTATCAAAATCTAAAAATGTAAACTTGAATTTAACAATACTATCAATAAGTAGAGAACTCTTGTTTGATGTTTCCATAAAACAAAATCACATTTTTGTGTAAAAAGGTATCCCACATACTTTAAAATATACACCATCAGTATATCTGTTATAATTTTAATAGAAAAAAAAATCTTGAAGTATTAAAATATATAATAAAATAGGAATATTTTAAACTTATACCAGGAAGAAAAATAAGTACAAAAACAATAATGAAAATTGAAAAAAAGAAGATTTATTTACAAAAACAACATATTTTTCTTGGGATGGAGAAAGAATGAATCAATAAAAAGGAATCAATGGTGAATCAACAAGGAAACATCATAAATGCGGCTGGCTGAGATGTAGATGGGAGGATTGTGCTAAGGCAGAGCTAATCGATTAAGATTTTTAGGGGATTTGTCGAAAGACGGTTGATAGCAATTAATGAGTGTTCCAGGTTACAGCTCTAAATTTGCTAATCATTATCATTATTATAAAAATATTGTTTAAGAAGGGTAGGAAATTATGGATTAAGCAATGTAATTTCAAAGTGATTAAAATGAGAAGAAAAATATGATATGATCCCATAGTGACAATAACAAAATATAATATAGCAAGAATCATAACAAAAATAAATATAATAATTTTCTTTATTATAAAATAGATTAAAATACTAGGCACAACCAAACCTCCTTATATTAAACATAAAGATATCTTTAAGAAAAATGTATGCATTTAAATTGCAATTTTTTATCCATGTTATTAGGGTTAAAAATGTATTTAAGACAATTTTTTATGGCATTAAATTTCAATATCACTTCATAGTTTTTATAAAGAAAGGTTTAATTTTTTCCGATCTCTAAAATATTCAATTGATTTAACAACGAAATCATATATATATATATTTTTTAATAGTATACCGCACTTGCTACAACTTCATATTTTTTGTCACGACTGTTCACAATAAGAAAGACGAACTTCAAGTGAATTTAAAATGATAATTAAATTATAAAAATAGAAATTCAGAGAATTATTGAATTTAGAGAATTATATTCCATACTTTTTTAACAGAGACCTTTTGTTCAATATATGTAAGAATTTTATTCAATGCACGGAATACTATAAAACAGAATAAACAAAATATTCATGATAAAGTACAAATAAAATAAAATAAATACTAAGCTTTTAGATGTGCAAAAGTTGGATAATAAGAGATTGGTCTATATCTTCAGATATATGAATTTTCTATATAATAATTTAATTTTAATTAGCAATAATTTATAAATGTAGGTTGATAACAGATTATAAATTACAGAAATATCATATTAATAAAGAAATTTGAAGAACAAAATGTTTCAGATTCAAAGGCCAATATTAATTGTATTAAATTAGTTATAATGAATCTACAAACAAACCTAAATAAACAATGCAAAAACGATTAAATAAAAGGTAAGATTAGGAATGAATGAAAGATATTTTTTCTAGGAAATAACATGATAATTGAACAATTTGATCACTTACAGAGAATTTCTTATCACTTGGTTCTCCAGTCTTCTTCCATTAACAAGTACGTCTTGTTTCTTTCAAGTCAAACCATTTGGATAATATTATAATGTTTCTTATTTATTTTTGTTGAATAAGAGTGCACAAAGTATATGCAGATTTAATCAATAACTGTAGTTAAAATATTTAGTTTGAGTTATACAGCAAAATTATTATATTCTGCGATATTTGTCTTTTAATTTTTCTAAAACCATACTAAATGTAAATTACTATAAGCCTATCAAGTTTAAAGTTAGCTTATAATCATTACTTTTTTTTCTTTATAATTTACAGAAAGAATTTTCATCATCAAAAATATAATATTAAATCTTTACAAATTCTACTTTATAGTATTAACTTTAATACAATTAAAAAGGGAATTTATTGTCTATTATTTTTATTTATTTTATTTTTCTAAGTCGTTTCCAACAAAAAAAAAATCTTTAAACTATGGAGCTCTACTCAGTAAGGAAGGAATCTTGCAAATGAAATAGGTTTAGGAATATTATCTTATCATTGCTATGATTCAGTCTATTACCAACTCTATCTATAATTTATGTCAAACAGAAAACACGTCATTTTAATTTTATCAAAGGAATGATAAGATCATCAATTTTGAGGATAACTAAACTAATGTTTATTTATTGATTAATTGATAGTACTCTATCAAGTAATAAAAGCATAAAATATAAAAGAATACCTTACAATGCGTTTTATATTATGGGATCCTATATTGATATTATAAACTTTATTGTAATAATGACTTCTGAATAAGTCTTTAAAATATAATGATTGTATCTATACTCTTCCTTCAAGTGTTCAACTATTTAAGGGATTCTTAACATTTCTTACAAACAGCTAAGTTAAAATAACAAGTGGGATTAAAAATAATCAAATTGAATTATTTATATTTCAAAATGTAAATTCATAAATCCATCAGTACAAGATATCTTTTCCATTTTCACAGATATGTACATATGCATATACTTGTTACAAAACTCAAGTAGCCACCAAAAGAGAAAAAATGTAGCTTTATCTGGAATTTAAATGGACTCATGCTCTTGTTAGCAAATATTCAAATATATATTCTTTATCATTTTGTTTATTTATTTATTTTTATATTATATTAGTTATTTACTTGTCTATTTTTTATTTTAATCTTATTATTATCATCAACCATTTTTTATTTACTCCCTTATCTGTATCCTCTGTTGAATAAATATTTCTATTTTTAATAATCTATCAGCTTAATATTTTAAATATTCTAAAAACTAGTTTTGGTATAATTATTTTACTGATTCAGTGCTGATGACCTGACTGTTTTATACCAAACATCAACAAAAACAATTAACCAGATAATGTTTGTTGAAAAAAAAAAGAAAGTTAAAGAATACATTTTTGGTGGCACATGGCACTTTTGAACTCCGAGAGTAAAGGAAAAAATTACACATGCTTAAAATTAAACATTTATAGATTTGCAAAAGTTAGAATTAACTTTAAGGCATAAGTCAAGTCCTAACAGATTTGTGTAAAACATACATACAATGTATTCCTTAAAACCTACTGCTTATATCCTGCTAGTCTTGCAAACTCAATAATCCACTGAGACATCTTATTTTATATTTCTACATTTCTAGAAAAGCAGGATACTACGTTATAAACAACTAATGCATAGTCATCTATTGTCAGTGACTGTTGAGCATCATATTTAACCTGTCGCAAGAGATTGTTTTGTGCAGTAGGTGTATAAAGTCATATGACTGTTAGATCATGCTATTTTAGAATGTTTGGATAGTTAATAATTAGCACATTTGTCTAAACAATACAAAACAATATAAAGAGTCAAGAATCATATTACAGCATAGAAAAATTTGAAAGCTAGTGAGTTTCAGTCAAGTATAAAAATCATTAATTGATTAATACTTGATTCATTGTAAGAAAGAAACCGACACATTCCTATTTCAAGCAAAATTGTTATGGAAAAACCAAAAATGTTTTATATTTGAGCCATCACTCGGCACGAGGAAAAAAAAAATACTCCGGCTTCTGGTATGCTTTTATAAAAGAGACTAAAGGAAAAAGTGTTGGTATATTCTTTTATTTTTTTTCAGAGCTAAAATTTCACATTTGTGTTTAAAATATTTTCTTTAGGAATATTAAGAGTGGGAACTATAAATACATGGCACTACCCCACTACCCGGACTTTTTTTATTACCAGCTCATTAAATAGTTCATAACAAAATATAGATGGTATCGATATATAATTAGGACAATTCATAATGATTTAGAAAATATATTTAATGTTCTCCTGGAATATACAGTCAAATGTAAACTACAACTCTGTAGAAGAAAAAATGCAAGTTCAGCTCAGTGTGACAAGCAGCTCTACTTGAGAATCCTAGAAGCAAGGAAAAGAAGAGTGGCTGAATGCCAGATCGTAGAGGAGCAGTATGGATTCAGCATAAATTATTTCATTTCAACATTGTACTGAAACTATAGCCATATTCCAAATATAAATTTGTCATAATAGAACTCTCCTAAAAAATATAAACTGAAAAAAAAAATGTTAACAAAATATGAAATAAAAATATCTTATTACATACGATTATTTTTGATTTTGGTGATTTGAAATGTTATTTTATTGTTAACACTGAAGCTCATCAATGCCACTAAACCAAAAAGAAAATCGGTTGAGAAACAGAGGAGAAAAAGATCCTCAACTGTTTTGCCTTTGCCTGTTTATATAATGACAAATAGTGAGACAGAAAGATCTTTATAAATTTTGTAATACTATTTTCATTCCTTATTTTACTTAACTAATATAAAATTTATTATTTTTATGATTGGTAGCCCTAATGGTCTGTAACTACAAGAAATGTACTGGACTCAACTTGACCATCCTACTTACAACCCGAATCTATCGACCTGCAACTACTATTTCCTTGGACTGCTTGAAGAAGCTATAGGATGACAAATGTTTGAAAATAATGATAGTATGGAGGAATTTGTGTGAATTCTAACACAACCAGCTTCATTCTACGATGCTGCAATAAAAAACCTTACATCTTGCTGCAAAAAATGTATTTCTAAAGTGGGAAACTGTGAGAAAAATAAATTACAACTACCTTTTGTTATTCAATAAATTAATTTAAATGAAAATAAAATCCCATTTGTAATTGATTTAACCTCGTAGATGATAATGCAAATAATATCAAAATATAAACATGGATACTCTAATAGAAAAAATATGACGGAAAATAACAAAAAGAAAATTCTACCCTCAACCTTAAACTAGTACAACACAATTTTTTTAAAACGTTAAAATAAAACTTTATTTAAATGATTCTGACACTTTTGCTACACAATAAACTCAGAATAAATAGAATGTCCAAACCAAAATATAAATTGTTCACATACATTAAAGTCTTAACCACATAGCATCATAAGAATATTTAAATGAATGGAAGTAAATGAACTTTGGCTTAGATCCAAAATTGCCTATTAAAAAATTTAAGTACTTCCAAAACTAAAGATTTAACATCAATTTAAAATCAACAGAACATATACAAAGTTAATATGAATGTGCACTTATGTCGTTTGTGTGTGTTTTTTAATTTGCGATTTTGCCTTTTACTTTTGCCTTTGAATAAAATAAACATGTGGATACAGTAGAAGTCAGAGTACTATCGAAAATTAATATAACAGAAATTCTCGTATGTTCAAGTATAAGTTTTTATACAAATAATTAAATGATTATTTAACAGTGTGATAGGCACAATTAAGGGCTAGATTTCTGCCCTTTTTTTCACTTTTAGGTCTCAATTATATTGTCAACAATCAAATAATAAAAATATTTGTATACATTTTAGACAATATCCAAACAAACAGATTAAACAATGAGGTGTGTTGTGTGCTTTGGCTTCTTCGGACATTTTCTAAATGCAATGATATTTTATTGAATTGTTAAAATACTAAGTGTACGCATGTGATGTTTTAAATATTTTTAGAATCAGTATTGTGTTATAAAGCTTCTAAATAAAATATTGTGAGAACGTTTGGAGGCTAACAATATTTATTAAAAATATAGATTATTTAGTATATAATTCTAAATTACATTGAAATTAAAGTATTTAGAAGTTTTTAAAAAGTAATTATAGATGCCATGTATTATGAATAAACAAACATTTAATTGTATAGAAATTTATCAAATAATATTTTACAAATAAAATAGAATAAAATATTCAAGAATTTTAACCTCAACTCACCTAACATTAAGACAGGAGTTGACCACTGTTAACAATGGCATTTACCACTAAATTACAGCTATTATGAAAGACAACCTTGAATGATTTGAAAGATAAGATGATTGCTAACAGAATTTTGAGTAACAAATATCATAAAATGAATTTCCAATTGATGAAGGAGCAATAGTTATTTCTTCCGATATTCTCATACAGAATGCTAATAAGAAAGCACCATCTATCACTAAGCAAAAAGGCAATAATTACAATAAATGTCCCATGAAATACTAAATATTCGTACCATTATAAATAGGACTTGAAGGTCTCTTAAAAAAAAAAGTATTTGAATTTTTATGGTTCATTTACATTTATTAAATAAAAAAAATTGAAACATAAAATTTACATTTTTATTATAGTTCAAATTATAAATTTAATTGAAGATCTTTTTACATTATGTATATAATAAGTAACAGATACATAATAAATTCAAATTCAAATAGAATACATATGCAGTAAGCATGTATAAAAATAATAATTTTTCCTTTTTATTTTTGAATATAGAAACCTCTAAGATCTTTCGGAAAATATTTTTATTTGCTGTATGTAAATTTCATTTAATATACAAAAAGTGTTTCCTGCTAAAATTTTGGAATATAAAGATTTCTAAATTAAGATCATTCAAAATATAAGGGTTCAAATGTATAAGAATAAACAACCGTTACACGATTTGTTCAATTGGAAGAAAATTTAAACATGGAATTTTTTCAGAAATACAGCAATTAATTGTAAGCAAACAGACAAATCACTGTAAGTGGAGACAATAGCCACTACAAGTGATTTTGTGACTCATGATGAGTGTGATATAAATTGTGTGCATAATTATAAATTATTTGGTTTGTCAATATCTTAACAAACATTGTTCTTACAAAAATTGCACTTACAAAAACTAAGGCAGTATTTTAAGACTTTTTTTTCAAATTATATTAATATATTTATTCACTCAATAATTAATAAAAATAAAAATATTAACAAAAATTATTTTCTAAATAAGAGTGAAAAAGTTAGAATAGTATATCTGTAGAACCATATACTATAAAAACTCAATAATTTGTTTCCTGCTAATTTAAAATAAAATGCTGGCCCCGCCAAAAAATCTCAGTAATTCATAAAAATTGAATGCATTTTGGTCCCTTCATAATTTAGTATTGAATTTTATACTTGAGGCTAATTAAACATCTTATTATTCAAAAGTCAGTGTCCCCATTCTTCAATTATCTGATTCATATTTATTTACATTGGATTGAATATCCTTTATTTTTAATCAGTATAGTGATTCATGGATAAAAAACTTATGTATACTTATCTCCAAAAATTAAGAGTATGCAATTGAAAATTATGGAAAAATGTGATCTTGGGTTTGCCTGAATCGGTGAAATGTTGACAACTTATTTTATTCTTTGCTTGAATTTTAGAGACACAAGGCTGTGCGATTGGAATTTTCAGGTTAAAACTTTTATCCTATAATAATTTTATGAATGATGAGTAAGTTTTTCAATAAACGTAAATATCTCAAGGTAACTAGAATATAAAATCTAGATTTCAATTATGATATTTTTTAATTTAAAAAGGTAAATGTTTATATTTTGAAAAAATAAAATAAATTGTGTGATAACGATAGGTATGAGAAATTTCAATATAGTTTGAAACCAAATGAATAGGTTAGAATTTTAAGGAATTATTGTCAGTTAAGTCAAAACACATTAATAAGTGTATTGTATTTATTTATGATGTGTTTTGACTTCATTAACTGTACCCCCAATCAACTTCTCATTACGTATATAGTCAACTCCATCCACATTTGGTCACATTTGAGATGTTTCAAATTATCCTAGATGCAGATCAATAGATATAATTATTAGAATAGAGTTTAGGGTGTTCTCAATGATTCACCCTTAAGTACATATATGTATATAATATACATACATATACACATAGATTTACCTAAAAGCAGTAAATAATTAGTCTACAACTATAACATGCATACAGGTACATTCAATGTTAGTAAAATATAGGCAGGGATATTACATACGCTTACAATTCAACTAATATTAGATGAAAAAGAAAATTATTATGCGGAGGAATAAGAACTTACGAGTATATAACATTTGCCCTTGGTAGTAGGGAAGGTAGACATGCTGAGCATGGGTAGGTTTCCCATAGTCATTCATCGTTACTGCGACCATATCATCCCCACCTAGAGCCGACACATCACACTTGTACTCCCTTCAGCATTTCCCACTTTCACATACCACCGTTAATCTGGTCGCATGATACAAACAGTAAAACCTCGATTAACTGGAGGGGAGTAGGCATTAATGATTCAACACGTGTATTATATCTGGACCGGAAATAAACAATTAAATGGGAAATAAACTGAAAGTAATAGATTTATTTCAATTCAATGAAAATATTAAAAATAATGGATTAAAAGGCGCAACCTTTAAGTTCAATTGCTTAGTATGATAATTAATAACATTTAAAATTTACTTATTACGTGTATACAACTTATATACTTATATAATAAGATTTTTTTAATTTATAATATTTTTAAAGCATTGCTTATGAAATGAATTAAAAGTACTGAGTAAATAATTTTAAAATAAAACATAAATATCAGCCTGATTAAAATTAGACATTAAAAGTTTGTTGTATTGCAATTAAAAAAAAAAAAAAATGGGAAAAGGCGGCTCACATGAAATATTGGTTTTCTAACTGATTAATGAATGAATTTAATATAAGGATGGACTGATCATTAATGATATCTAGTTCAAAATTGAGGATTGGAATTTGAAGTGTTTCAGTATTGACGGGACCCTTCAGTTACACTTAAATTACTTTTTCCATAGAATATGTACTATTTATTAAAAATCTGGTACTGTGTGGGCGTCACACAATTACCACACTACTTTGAATAGCAATAGGTGTTTCCATATATTGACCAGTAAAAGTAAAAATTAAATTATATTAATTTAAAACAATTACCATTTAATTTTTTCACCCGTCTAATCAGTTAAATTTATGTATTTTTTATCACTCTACATTATCTTCTGCGAGTGTATATTTTAGATATTAATTTTTCAAAATCTTTTCAAAAATGTGTTATAAATCAGTAGAAAGGAATGTATTTTCAAATATTTGTTTTCAACTTGGAAAAATATTTCTCATTTAGCTAATCATGAAATTTTTTCTTAGCTTAAATTTATCCATTTTAATTACTTCTAACAATGAGAGTGGTTTCAAACGGACAGAAGTAAACATAATTTCTAGGAACCGATTTTGGAAATTCGGCATTCAGACCCTGTTGGGCTAATTCAATAAGGATAAATACTTGCTGATATTAGGGACTAATGAATTGGGCCTATATTGAGACATAAGTATTTTTTTTTTATTACATTAATTTATATTTCATTGATGTTATTCCAAAAAAATTAGAGCTTTCATGTGATACTATTGTACTTTGATTAAATTTGAGCAAACAAGAATTTTGCTTTTAACGACTAACATTTGAATTAAGAACACAATTGAATGCCAGATAATGGAGGTTTTACTGTTTATAAATATATTAAGGTTTTCAATATTGCACTGCCCTTTCAACCAAGCAAAGAACAGCATAGAAATAAGCAGAATGTATCTGTTATCAATTTTTGAAGAAGTTTTCATTATTTTATTAAATTAATAGAAATTAAAATTTAAAAAAAAAACTGCATTTTTAAAGCTTTAAGCCAAATAAAAGAGCTTAACATTGAAAGTAAAAAACTTTATAGATATAGCCAAGGCAGTAATAATAAAGTAATTTTGCGACAGATGAGAACTGAAGCAATCGGAAAACATTTAAAGCAAAGAATTCGCAGAGTAAGTCAGTTCTTAAAAAGAAAATTCCAGGATTGGATTAAACTCCTCATGTGCAACACAAAACTTAATACCAACTATGGAAAGGTTATCATTACTACTTGAAAAATCCTGTTAGATTTTATCGTTACTCATAAATAAAACAGAGGGTATGGTGGGCAAAAACATTGTACCCAGTTCAAGGTGGTGTGGGTTCACTTTCCACCCGTTGATAAGATTGATCAGTTGATAAGAATTTGCAGAATCTTTTTATCAGAAATTTAATGTTACTTTTAAAACGATTACTTTATAAGAGTATAAAATTGAATAAATTAAACCAGTTACAGAATGCTCTAAGTACTGGTAGAGGTACCTAATTCTAAATCTCGTGATAAAATATTTTAAAAATTCTTGAAACCAGACCATAGTTTATATAAATATTTTTGTGGCCAATTTGGAGACAACACCTGAAATTTTACTCAAATTAACTGACTGACACTGTATGCTCTTCTCCTTCATTAAGAAAGAATCAAGATTAAAAAAAAAAATAATAATAATAGGATGATTTTACAGAAAAACAAATTTCAAAACAACTTCATGCTTTCATTAGAAATACAATTTACCCCTTTCCAATCTTTTTTTTAAATGTTCATCTAAACAGATATAACATAAAATACAAAATGAATCACATAGTTGGTTTCATGCTCAAAATCATTCTTTTTAATACCTCCGTCATCTTCTGAGTCCGACATGAATGTTTCTTGCATGGCTTCAGGAGCGACGACTCGATATTTCTCCTCGACAGTGACAGTTGTCGTGGTTGTAATAGTTGTCTCAGTAACAACTTTAAGTGTTTCGACAACAGTTATATAACCAAGTTTATTGGCTATTGCAAGAGGAGTAAGCCCTTGCTGTAAAAATAAAGTCAGTTTTTAGATTAAACGAACTCCCGAGGAAAATTAAAAAATGGACAAAGAAGGCATACGTTGGTAACAGCATCAGGCTTGGCCCTGGCACGCAGAAGCAGAGTGATGACCAAGCAATGTCCCTGTTGAGCGGCCTGATGAAGAGGCGTGTAACCGAGGATTGTCGAGCTCTCAACGTTAGCACCTTGTTCAAGCAGCCAACGTACCATGCTCACTTGTCCAAAGTGACAAGCAGTGTGGAGGGGAGTGTATCCTGCCTAAATAGATCAATGGAATAAAATCATATTTAGAAGTAGCCATAGACATCCCATATTCAATTATGTTGTAAGTGTTAGGTAATAAGTTATTTTAACTTAATATTTGAGGAATTAATACAAATATAAATATACCTTAGTAACTGAATCAATTTCTGCATTATTCTTTCCTAAAATAGCTGCAACTTGTACTTTATCTTCTTGAGCACAAAGATGAAGAGGAGTGAGCCCATTCTTTAGTAACAAAATAAATAAATAAAAAAGTTAGATAACGATAAATTAGAGATCAGTATACGATAAAACCAACAGCTAATACATCTTTGTTGCAATCTGCCATTCTATGAAAGTTATCCTTAATTTAATGGAAAAAGATGTTTTAATTGCTTCAATAACACAATAATTAAACAAACCTTTGAATGATGATTAACATCAGCCTGGTGTTGAATCAATAATGTAGCCATGTCTGAATGGCCTTCTTGAGCAGCGAGGTGCAATGGAGTAAAACCAGCTTTTGATTCCGCATTTGCCTTCGCACCATACTCCAGAAGAGTTGTTGCTATATCCATCTGAATTAAATAATAATGATTAATAGGGAACATATAATGAAACTATAATTCATATTAAATAAAAACTCTACTATACTTGATTCTTTTTAGCAGCAATGTGAAGGGGAGTATGACCATTCTTTGCTGTTGCATGAGGAGAAGCACCATTTTCCAAAAGTAAAAGAGCTACATTTTGATTATCGTAATGACTAGCAACGTGTAAGGGAGTCACACCATTCTAAAACAGATGACAATTCAATAAAATTATTTCTTAGTTAAAATAACAACAAAAACACTAATACATTATCACATTAAGACTGATTATTCCTGTATAACTTTCAACTTTAAAAAAAAAAAACATCTTTCTCCTGCTAATGGATATAAATACTTATTTACTAACATCTAACATAATAAAATTTTAATTAGTTGATTTGTTACTAAACACTATTGTTAATTTGATTGGATATTTAAATTTATGTGCTGATTTTCATACTTTGCCTTGTGCATCTACTGGTGCTTCTCTTTGAAGAAGAAGTTTGGCCACTTTAAGGTTACCATACTTAGCGGCTAAATGAAGGGGTGTAAAGCCTTTTTTAGTGGTTGCATCTAAGGAAGTACCATTTTCTAGAAGAACTGATGCTACCTGTTAAAAAAGAAGTAATAAATAGATAAAAAAGAGAAAGTTTTAATTATACTGTCTATACAAATAAATTGTTTTAAAATTTTCAAGTATTACATTTAAAATTTAAAATATATTAGAACTTAACTATAAAGTGGCATGTTTTATCATGGATTTGGATAAAGCATTGGTCTAGTGGTACAGTCAATGTTACGGGTGGTAAGAACTAATCCTGAAAGTGGGTTTAGTGGTCCTTATTGCCCACCCCTAACAGCTACCTAAAGGTTGCTGCTGCCTACTTACCAAAGTGAGAATGTACACAGGGCTGCTGAAAAATGAATATTAACCGAGCTAGGTGGGAATCAAACCCACAACATTCAGAACTGGGTATTTAGAGACCCATCTACATGCTCAGCCATCTTGGTATGGTTTCAATCTCCAGTTACCATAAAAATAAGTTGAATGAATCTTACAATTTTTCGGCTTCAATTTGATCCCATATAAGACTAATTCTTAAAACTTTTTTTGGTACTTCTTCACTAGCAGGCCGGGACTGACTGCTATTTGCCAATGTTTATAACCTGAACACTGATAATGCCGATAAGGCAGTGATAAGCCTTCTCGTAATTCCTATCTTCGTACTATTGTATTATATTCGTATTATTGAAAGTGTAAACAGAAACAAAAACAAATGTAATAAAAAAAAAAAAACTTTTATTTTACGACACATATATTTATGAAATATTAAAAAAACACTTAAAGAAGATATGTACATATAAAAGATCAAAATGAAATAATAAAAAAACACTTAACGAACATATATTCATATAAAAGAAACGATATAAACACTATAAACAACATATGTTCAATTTATTTTCACTTCGTCTTATTTATTTTGGTAGGGAAAATAGTTTTATGCTATTTAAAATAGTGAGGAACGGGTCCTCTTCTTTGTGAACCCGCCGCCACAAAAATTCGCATAAATATGAATTGAGGTGTTGTCTGGCAGTTCTTCTATGTATTTTATTTCTCCACTTAGTTGAGCTCCATAATCGTATAATATATAAAAGATCAAAATGAAATAATAAAAAAACACTTAAAGAACATTGAAGAAAATAAACTAAAAAAAAAAAAGGAAAATAAACACAAACAGGCCAAAAATAAAGAATTTAATAAGTGAACGTAATAAGGAAATAACTGAAAAATAAACAATGTAATAACTGAAAGGTTTGGCGGTATAAGAAGAGGGAGGTTGACGTAGTTTGACTTCTTGACGTTAGATAACATAGATAAGAAGTGAGGTTTCGACCCGGCCTGCTAGTGAAGAAGTACCCTTTTTTTTTAATTTTAGGTCAAGTAATTTAAAAAAATGTATGAGGATTGAATGGGTGATGATGCATTTTTATAATTAGAATCACCTGTGTACTTATCCTTCAATTATTCCAAAGAATTGAATCATACATAGCTTGGCAAGCTATAATGATTATACGGCATATCGTAAAGAAGTCAGATATTACTAAGTAGAAAATAATAAACAGATCAAATACCTCTTCTTGACCTTCTTTAGCAGCTATATGAAGTGGAGTATAGAGGTCTCTAGTAGTTGCTTGAGGAGAAGCACCGTGTTGAAGCAACAGCATGGCAATATCTGCGTTACCTAATCTGCTTGCTACATGAAGTGGAGTCTGAAATAATAGTAATACAATTACAGTTATATATTATAATGAAAATCTTTGAGAGTCAGTAACTATCTACAATTATTAGAAAGAAAATTATGAGCCTAATTTAATTCATTCAGTTTATAGATTTCTAACATTTTTTGGGCTAGCAGCAACACTTTCGATAATTATTTTTCCGTAGGGTTCCCATCCACTAAAGGCATCAAATGTAAGATATTTGACAAACTGTCTTATGATAAATAGCTGCAGCAAATGTACTAGATATTCATACAGCAAAGGGAAAAGTAAGACTGGGATAAACTCTAGTTCCACATGGACACCGTTACATGTTTTATACATCTGGTGGATGCCAAACCTTAAATGAACTAAAAAAAATATAAAGTATTTTATCTAAAAAAAAAGGAAAAACAATTTTTCTAAACGATTTCTTAAAAGATATTACTTTAAACTAATTTGCTTTACTAATCAAAGCATCATTAAAATGAGTAATGCATAAAGGAAAATTATAATCAGGGTTAAAATACAGATTTACTGAAATATAAAGCCAAATTTGTTGAAGATTACAGTACTTACTATTTATATAAATTTATAGAAAAAGACAGTATCAGTATTTAGGTCATACCTGCTCTTCCCTTGCTTTAGCATCAACTGTTGCATTGTATCTCAGAAGGACGCGCACTATATCGGCTTGGTTTGCTCTAGCCGCAAGGTGGAGAGGCGTTTCACCTCTGACAGTGGCAGCGTCAGGTGATGCACCCTTCTGTAGCAGGCACAGCGCAATAGTCATGCAGCCCATGAAGCAGCTTACATGAAGTGGCGTCAAACCAGACTATAAATTAAAAATTATTTTTTATTTTTTCGATTACCTCATACCTCACCATTTCTGACTTATGTTGTGTAGGGGATTGTTCTAGAGGTACAACTAAACCTTTTATAACAAGACCATTTAATTTTGTGAGATTGAAAAATAAAGTATTACATGGTCACTAATAACTTTTTTATGTAATAGAGAGAAAACAACATTATTCATATTAAATTCCATTATTCACTAACACATAAATTTTTAAAACATAGGAACAATAAATATTCCAAGTTAAACAATTATCTTCTAATAATAATAAGAATTTGAAATAAAAAAATTAAGTTTAGTGAATTATTTTAGTTAATTAAGATTCTATGCAGTAGTATAAATGAACAAACCCTTTTTTATTTTAATAGAAACTTGATTTGCAAGAATCCTAAAAAAAAAATCTTGATTTCTGATTCAGTACTCTTTTGTTTTTTTTCAATATTTTTTTTAAGTAAATATTTAAAACCATTTAATACCTCTGTTGTTGATTCAATTGAAGCACCATATTTAAGTAGAAGTTCGACAACTTTTATTCTGTTCTTTTTGCAAGCAATGTGAAGTGGTGTGAATCCATTAAGTGCTCTGGCATTAGGGTCAGCTTTTCGGTCTAAAAGCAGCCTACAGAAAAAAAAAATTATGAAGAATTTATAATATTTAATTGTGGAAATCAAACAGTGAACCTTGACTTCATTTTAAAATTTTATAATAAAATAAGAAATAATAAAAAGAAAAGAACATAATAAAAAAATAGACACCTCTTTTCATCTTTGTCCCAAAATTAAATTTAATATTATTACAGCTATATAATTAATTATCGTTTTATAATAAAACAAATTTTAGTTGTAAAATAGAAGCCGTAATTTACCTAATTTTTGCAGAAAGACTACAATCTCAAGTTCATAAGGGAAATCATAAATGTGATGAAACAGCTTAGTAAAAAAACAAAAAAATTATATGGACAGTAATGATTTAGACCAGTATACCTAGCAACTGGAACATGACCGCAATGTGCTGCTACGTGCAATGCAGTAAGATAATCAACAGTGATGTCATCCACGGGTGCACCGTGATAAAGTAATATCCGTGCTGCGTCTACATGATCACCTTGTGCCGCCATATGCAGTGCTGATAGCCCGTTCTAAAATATTAATAAGTTTTTAGAAAATAGAAGTTTTATAAATTCTTAAATAAAATTAATTTAGAAATTTAAAACAAATTATTCACTATAAAAATACATTTTACATAATAGTTCTTTATAACTTTATTTTGATTATTTTTTTTTCATATATCAAAACTAATGGTATTAGTGAACAAAACAGGTCCTACGTTTGACATGACTGCAGCTTTACAAGAATCGAGTAAACAAATAAAATCTTATCATCCTCTCTTGTTTACCTAATTGAGTCCAAGACAACCATTGGACAGATTAAACCTTGTGTACTTAAAATCAGTCTGAGCCTAGTAGACTTTATTTGCTATTGTTATTTATATATTATTTATTTCAGAGGCATAAACTTGCCAAATTTAAAATATACTTTTATTCATCTAGAAGAACGTCACATGTGTAGTGGGTCCTGTCATCTAGTCCCATCTGGGTATAGGGTCCTCCATACAGGAAGCATTACTTAGATATATGTGAAGTTACAAAAGTGTTATAAAGACTTTGTATTTCCTAGATAATCAACTTTTATAGACTTTGTATTTAAGGTACAAATAAACACAAAGGTAGAAGTTATTCTATCTAATGGTTTAAAAATTAAATTAAATATACATAATAAATCTAGTTATTAAAAAATTGAGCAACCTTTGTTTTTGAAGTGAGCGGAGCTCTATGTTCAACTAGATGATCGACTACCTCGTGGTGACCAGATCGAGCAGCACAGTGAAGTGGAGTGAGCCCGTCACGGGTCTTCGCTTCGATGTTTGCCCCTTTGTCAAGCAGAAGTGAGACCATACCCATCTTGCCCCACTTGCAAGCTACATGAAGTGGGGTGATGTTATGCTGAGACAAAAATTAATATTATATTTATATTATTTTAAGTAAAGAAATAATAAATAAATAAGAATGATATAGAAAATAAAATTTTGAGCATGCTCTCATCCATATTGACAAGTTAAAACATTAAAGTAAAATAGTATTTTTTAAGAACAATTTGAATAAAATAAAACAAAATGTATATTTTTTAGACAATGGTATAATTTGCATATTTTATGGAAACAAATTATGCACATCAAGCTATATTAATAAAAATAATTTTGAAATAATAAAAACATTATTTGAAATTTAGATAGATAAAATATCTTACCTTAGCAGCAAAATTAACATCTGCTCCTTTCTGATGAAGTAAATTTGCAATATTTTGGTTTCCATAATGGGCAGCGATATGGAGGGGCGTGAAACCACTTTTAGAAGTAACATCAGGATTGTGATCGTTCTGGAAATTTAAAGGGAAAATTAAAATGAATTAAACATGTAATTTATAAAAAAATATTGAATAAAAAACAATTAAGACACATTAAATTGAAGTGGTGAAGATCTCAAACCTGAAAATTAATGCAATTCATTGTTAGATTTCATACTGCAGGCATCAGTAGCTTGGAAATAACTAAAGGCATATGGTACTACAAAGCAGTATAACACAAATAGGAATCCATTTGTAGAACATAATAAGGGCATACATAAAATTTATTCTGATGAAGCAGAACATAAGAACTGAAAATACTCTAACAGAGTCATTACCTGAAGTAAAAGTGTAGCAGCTTTACAGTCGTCTTTCTTTGCAGCTATATGCAAAGCAGGAAGCCTAACCTTCCCTCTCGTGTCGTTTTCGAGCAAAACTGCAACAACCTTGTCGTGACCTTGCTGCATTGCCACAGCAAGCGGTGTGAAGCCATCCTGTAATAATACAAACATAATTCTAATAAAACCGAACAGTAACATATTGATCAATACTTGGAGATTATAAAATTTTTTTAGGTTATTACAGGGTTTTTTTTTTCAATTTATATATTTATTATAAAATCTCTCATTGCCCACCAATTTGAAACCCAACTGCAAATCGTAATGTTAAGCTCCAAGGATCATCCTTGAGTGAATAGCCAAATCTAAAAAAACAATTGAACCAGTAGTCCCTTTAAAAGGGGAATATTTCAAAGTCGATTTTCGGATTCTATGCATCTAGAATCGTAAAAACTCAAATTTTTTTTTCCTTTGGCATTACAGAACTGTAGATCTTTTGCTTCCTTAAGCAAACTTCTCCATCTCTGCCTATGTTGGGTTAGGTTATTAAAAAAAAAAAAAAAAAAAATGATTTAGTGCTATTGAAGCATTATAAAAAGAATGCTTCTCATAGAAGTTATATAATAAAATGTAATAAATAGGAGTGAATATGACTGCTAAGACCAATCATTCAAGTCTAGTTTAAACATTTTTTTTTTGAAATTGTAACATACAGGTTTTCTCATTTCAGAAACTTTCTACCTTGGCTAGACATTTTCATGCTGAAATTTCTTAGCAAAATTACAATAACAACTGACTTATTCATCATTGGTAGATGCTTAGTGTGCTTTTACTTTCTAATCCTTTGGTTGCAATTTTGAAATTTAAAAGGTTTCCTAAAGGTTTTATCTCAAGAAGAAAACTTTGAATAATTCTAATCCTGTTTCTTATGATTCAAAAAAATAATATTTAATCATTGAACAAGAGCATGTTGTTGTGAGCATGCAAAAAAAAAAAAATATATTCAACCAGTAGAATAGATTAAAAATGTATCTGATTATTTTCTTATTGCCTTGACTCTTGGCAACACAGATTTTCGGTAGAAGTTGTGCGATACTTCTACCACTTATTTTCTGGTTCTTCACTCTACTTCATTAGAGAAGGTCAAAATGATCAACCCCCACTAATCCGTTCTATCCCTACACTAAAGCTTTGTAGTACGGGTAGTTATCCTTACTAGTTTCTCTCAGTAGTTTGGCCATTATTATCTCAAAAGTCGTGACGATATGATCAGTCAGAAGTCTACAGAACAACACAACACGGACATAGGGGGTAAATTTTCATCCCAAATGCACAAAGCTTAGCATCAAACCACACATATTCTGTAAGGAATAGTGATACTCAATAATCAGAGAGGCCCCATTTTGCTTCCAACCTTGAATAGATGGTAGGAAAATATTTCTCAAGGTAGAGCCTTTACCTACCGTCGATTCCATTACTCAATGGTATCCTTTTTTATTCTTATCTATTCAGATCTGCCGTAATCCTTTAGTGGATCTTTTTCAGAGGACTTGCTGAGCCTTCTTTTTTGAGAATATATATGAGAATCGAGAGGCACCCCTCCCGCTGAAACCTGAGCCCCTTCTTGAACATCATTCATCTAGGATTATGTTAATCACTCACAGCAGAGCTGTTCTCAGGATTGTCACCAATCTCATCTTCTGTTGTAGTGAGAGGTTTCGATTCCAGGTTGGGGACGCCTTAGGAATATCTTAGGAGTACCTTAGGATACCTAATACTACTCCATTATAGTCATTGTTGCTGGATACCTGAGACTTAAAATAGACTCATCAGAAATCACAACTAAGATTTTTTCTATAGTCTCCAGATGGAAATGAAGATCATGGATCTGTACAACGTAACAACAAAGACCGAGTGCAACACGTGGGCCACAAGCTCCAGAAAATCGAGAAGAGAAGAAGTAATACTATGCCGAATGCGAATTGGACACTGTCTTTTCACACACGGATACCTTCTTAGAGGTCTCGAAGCGCCAACCTGCCAAAAGTGTGACAACACCCCTCAGACAATTAAACATCTATTATTAGAATGCCCCCAATATGAAGAAAAGAGACAAAAATTAAAGCTTTCGACGACATTGAAAGATATTTTGGGAGACAAGGAGGAAGATGTCATCATTCTCTTTCAATATTTATTAGAAACAAAGCACCATAATAGATAAAAATCAAGAATTAACGTCAATGACCCTCTAGGGTAGAGGTAAATACAAATAAAAAAAATAAAACAACGAAGACCAATGAATTACTGTATTTAATTATACTTACTGTTAGGATTTGAATTTAATGACATAACGATTAGCTAATAAAAATGAATGGCTACTTATTGAAATGTAAGTACATAATAGAAATAAATAAATGGAGATATTTGACACACCTCAGTTGCTAGTCCTTGGTTAGCACCTTTGTTGAGAAGAAATCTAACAACAGCGTCATGGTTTTCTTGGGCGGCCATGTAAAGAGGCGTGAATCCATTCAGTGATTGTACGTTGACATTTGTACCTTTCTCGACAAGGAGCCTTGCAACCTCCTCCTGACCAGCTGCAACGTAACAATAATAATTGTTAATAATTATAATTTTTTTTTTTTTTTTTTTTTTTTTTTTTTTTTTCATCCAACTAATGTTACAGAAAATTTTTGTCAAAGAACGTTGATAGAGTTATTTGTTTGTTTGCCTCTACCCACTAGGGTCATTGGCAATCCTCTACTCACTCACATTGCTATATATACTCACTCACTTTGATAGATTAATGTATAAAACCTAAGTCTTAATAATTATAATAATATTAAGACTTAGGTTTTATACATTAATCTATCAAAGTGAGTGAGTATATATAGCAATGTGAGTGAGTAGAGGCCCCTAGTGACCCTAGTGGGTAGAGGCAAACAAACAAATAACTCTATCAACGTTCTTTGACAAAAATTTTCTGTAACATTAGTTGGATGAAAAAAAAGACAGTGAAATAGCTTAACTTTTATAATAGACAACTTTCATAAAAGTTTTTTCATCTTATTAAGCCTTTTTGGCCAATATTTTATAAAAGATTTTATAAGGTCAGAAATTGCTAATCATGGCCAACAACAGATGGTCAGTGGCAGTAACAAAACATTTAACGATAAACTTTTAATATCTAAATACAAACAATATAATTAACTACAATTGTAGTAAAAAAAATAGTTTCTTCTGTTAACTATCTCAACCATTTTTAGTAAATAAAATAAATAGAAATAAGCAGTTGAAACTGACAACTAGTAAATTAACTAAAAAAATTAATAAGTTAGTTGATAAATCTTATCTTTTATTGTATACTGTATATATACAATATACAATAAAAATAAAATAAAATATTAAATCATTCATTAATAAATACTCTTTCTTCAGTGCTTCATAAAAGGCACGGCAGATTTTTTGGTGGTACTTATGATGTTGGAAAGTGTGCTCTGATGTGAGTGTTGTACTGGAGCCTTATGTTGGTCTCTCTGATGGCTAAAAACTGTAATTACCATGAGAAGTCATAAGTGTTATTTCCCATGATATAAAAAGCCTTTTATACCATGGGAAATGACACTCATGATTTGTTTTGTATTGTAATTGTATATTAATTAATAAATAATTGTATTGTAATTGTATATTGTAAGACATGAAAACTCCACAAGAAGACAAATATGGTTTAACCCACAAACATTGTGTTTTCCTTTTTATTTGTGTTATTAAAGCCACTATTTTGCTGAAAAGAACTTTGATAATAAGAGAACTTGGAGGTCTTATAAAAAAACCCAACAACAGACATAGTGTAGATACTTCTTTCCCCTTAAACCTGTAAAAAACAGTTTTGTTTTTTACCACACACCTAACTATTTAAATTACTTATAAGATGGCAACTTACCTAATGCAGCAATGTGCAAAGCTGTATTTCCCTTCTTGGTGGCTGCGTCTACGTTGCATCCTCTTGTCAGTAGTTCCTGAACTATTTCTACGTGGCCGTCCTTCGCAGCGAGGTGGAGGGCATTGAGTCCATTCTGTTAAAAAAACCAACTAAGGTATAATGTCCAACAACAATATGAATAAAATAAAATGGCATTTACTCTAAAACAAGAAAGTATTTTTATTTGCAATAAATATTGTATACTCTCTGATTAAGTAATTCATAGGGTATTACATTTTCTTATGTTAATAACTCGTGAATTTGTTTTATTTAATTTCTTTTCATCATTATTTTTATTTTTTCTGTAAATATGATATGGCTGATAACATAATAACATTTTTTACTTCTATATTTTGTTAAAAAAAAAGAAAGTGATATTGATGGTCTCGTATAAATTAGTAGAAATCCTCTAAACAGGTAAGCTTCAATTGATTTTCAATCATTTTTAAACTACAAAACTATCAGGATGTAATCTTTTCATAAAACCAATGAATACAAACAAATCATGGAAAACGAAATTTATGAGATTATAATTTGAGGTACATCGATATATAATAATAATGTCGGAATACTCACAGCATTGCAAGTGTTGATGTCAACACCTTGTTCGATGAGTTGAAGGATTTTGTCCAACTGTCCGGCTCTGGCAGCCCTGAGGAAGCTGGTACCTGGGTCAGTCTGAAAATTAATACATAATTATTTAAATTTCTTATTATATTATTTTTAATAAATAAAAACAAACAACATAGAAATCTATATAAAAAACATAAATATGCACTTAAAATAAATATTTATTTAAATAAATTGTAGGTGATAAATAGTCAGGACGCAGCCATTATACAAATTATTTCATTAAAAAATTTGTAAAATTTTCTCTTATTAACCGTGGTTCAAGATTTTTATAAATAGATTATATATATTATTTTTAGTTTGTATAACTTTTTACATATTTCATTTTTAATATTGAGTATCGTAATAATAGTTAAGATTCATGTACCATCAATCACTATAGTTTATTATTTACCATTATCGGTCGTATAATATTATATCTCTGACTGTATTTTAAAATTTTCAGCCCTGAAGATGACCCACATGTTTGGGTTGAAACCTTGGCACAAATAAAATAATTTGTATAATGACTTGTGTCCTGACTATTTATCACCCATGATATGTAGAACAGTCGACTTGCTTCCTTCAATAAATAAATTGTACATCAATATATTTGATATTGAATATACTCCTAATGATGGTAATAAAATATTGAATTCTTGTTAATAATATCGAATGATCTGATTCAACATTAGGAGCATTGGAAGTCTCCGGATATGTTTTAAAAAATAATTAAATATCCCAACTTTAGCACATAACAGTATCAATAAAATGCCAGTAAGAATTTTATATCAATTTAATGATATGTCATATTCGTTCTAACACAGCCTAAATTAATTCTACCAACTTAAAATAGGTTTTTTTAAAAAATGTCTAGTTTCGTAGCTTGTCTATAGCATAGCATATTTTAACCCTGAAAAGTCTTGGGAAAATAATTTGACAAACGTGTCATACATGAATAAATCCAGTTAGGTTAAAAGTAGCTGACATGCTTAATGAGATTTCTTTGAGCTTTTAGTTGTAAATACTTAAATATTGATGTTATTGTATTTTTCTAGAATTCATTTTATAGATTTATTTCTTACTTTGTCAGCACACATCTAAAACCTAAACATCCATCTAAATTTTAAAAATGTGCAAATTAAGAGAATAGTTTTGTTGTACCAGGAGCTTACACTGTTTGATTTGTAATGTTCATAAAGTTGAAAGAAATGAGAAGGAGGATGTAGTTATGAGAAATATTGTGTTAAAATTTAATATTCTTCATTTTAAAATTAACTAAAATTATCATAATAAGACATGGTTATATTTAGTAGGCGTATGTGCGTTATAATTTCAAAAAATGAACATGTAGTTATTGTTTATATACTTATCTTAGAACACTCACAGTAATAAACATATACCAATCACTAGCGGATCCAGGAATAAATTTTGGAGGGGGGGCTTCAGCCCGAAAGATTTTTTTTTATATACATGTAACGATAACTAATTAGAAAAAAAAGGAAAGAAATTAACTATCTATATGAAATGGTGTTTAAGTGGTTCTTGAAGTCCTATTAAATGTAATTACGGGAACAAGAATACTTTAAGAGATAGTTTTAAATATTTTTTTCTGTAAAACATGGTTATATTTTACCATTTTGGGGGAAAGCTTCAGCCCGAAAGCTTCCCCCCCCCAGATGATCCGTCTGTGATACCAATGAAGGAAAAATAATTTTGGGGAAGGGTGGAAGAGGGGTTTCAGCCGAAAACCCTCCCCTCCCGCAAATCCATCTCCAGTAAATACGAAAAAATGTTCAGAATAACATCAAACAGCCTTTGTGTACCCAAAATGATTGGAACTGGCTTAAATATCCTTTTTTTTATTTCACATAATACCCACAAACGATTCTTAAATACTTCCGTAGTAAGGCGCATACTTTCTAGGCCAGACCTTAACCTTGTCTCCAGATAATGTATGATAATCCACTTAAGGGTATAAAAAAAAAATATATTGTGCCCACGCGACCTTCATTATTAAAACGATCGTTAAGTGCAACGCTTTCTCTTCAGGCAATTGTACCTTTATCAATCAATCAAGTTACATCCATTGGTTTATTATTACATAATTCAACAAAAAATAATTATATTTATTATTGATATATATAATTCAAAGTTATTGAATAAATAACACATGATGCCCAATATCAGCAGTCTTTCTGGTTTTTGTCAGAGATACCGTACGTATCAGCAAACTTATTTTTACTAATTAATATTAGTGAAAAGATAAGCATTAATTTTATTGAATCATCAGCACACTTTCCTCATATAATGCTGTCCAGTTAGCGGATTTTATAATACATGCGACTAAATGTATTAATAAATTCATAAACTAAACAGTATAATATGGGCACTAGCGGATCCAGGATTTAATTTTGGGGAGGAGCGTCAGACCGAAAGGTTTTAAAAAAAATAAAAATAAAGATAATTACTTTGCAAAAAAAGAAAGGAACTAACTACCTATATGAAATGGTGTTTAAGTGATTCCCTAAAGTCCTTTTAAATGTAATTACACGAACAATATATTTTTTTGGGGGGATGGAGGGTGAGGGGTCCTCCCCTTCCTCGCCTTTAAGGCTATACGAGGTTTTCCCGGGCCAAGAGGTGATTTAATAGTGTGGACGGGGATTTAACAGACTCCCCCGGCACCGGCACGCGAACGAACAATAATATTGTAATAGATAATTTTTTAATATTTTTTTCCATAAAACATGCTTATATTTTACCATTTGGGGGGAGCTTCAGCCTATTTTTAAAAAAATAATTAAAAGTGTAATGTGACTTCTAAAGGCTCATACAGAACATTTAAGTTTTTTTTATATTTGTCAAACACTTTCTTAAAAATATACATATGGACGCTTTAAGAATCTAATCTATATTCAATAATGGAACGTGAGGTTCATGAGATTTACTTTTCTTTAAAATTATATGTAGGCGACAAAAATTATTATTTTGCAGCATGTTTTTAGTAATTTTAAACTGGCAACAGAGAAAAATGAAAGTTATTTACAAAGTTATTTTTGATTAGTTTCTCCTGTCAAGAACTATGGATTATTCAAAGAGCAGGACGTATGTATGTTTTTTTTTGTGAAAATGATTCAAATATAAATTAATTAATGAAACATAAATATGGTTTAAGGATTTTTAAAAATATAGATATATCGATATTAAATTTTGTTAACCGAAAACTGATAACATTTCTAACAAAAAATATTTAAAAAGAAATAATAATAATAATTACGATTTAGATATTATTGGAACTTTATAGAAATAAGTATATATATATATGTGTGTGTGTGTTAATTTCAATGATAAAGCCAACCTACAACAATCAAACGATAGGTCCAAATAGGTGACTCATTACCTGTGCCGTGTTTATTGACTTCAGTAGTAGAGAACTAGACACAGGGCCGCCATTTGACAGCCGGGACATTGCCTTTAATAAGCTCTCTCCAGCCATGCTCTAATTTGGTTTAATCTAGTCTCCAAACCAATTACATTTCCCTTCCACTAGTGGTTAATAACAGGCCAGGATATATTATATATTCCAAAACATACTGACTTGAATACAGTGGTGTGATAAAGCCTTTGAACAAACCAATTTTTTATAAAAACGATACATGTTTCAATCAATATATTTGAGGGGAGGCATATTTTGAGAGGGTTATGAATTGAAAGAATGAAAAGTTTCATACTAAGGGACAAGTAAAAAAACATGGAAAGGCCGCAGTAACTGTAATTATGTGTGATTTACGATTTTTCTAATTCTACCTTAGTTTGTCTGTTTTTTTGGGCATAAAAATTGGCATAAAATAAAAATTTAGGCATAAAAATATCTTGGGGGGTAGGTTTTTGCGCCATCGATCTTGGGGAGGATGGTCACCCCAGTGATAAACTACGAATAAATGTCATTTTTAGATCCACCTTTAAGCGAAATCGACAAAACTTTTAAATAAAAGTTTTTAAAAAATAAAAGTTTTGCAAAACCTTTACTTGAAAGCTTGCTAAGCACGAAGTCCTAGTTCCATAAAAGACTGGGAAATTATCGACAGTGAAAATTCTAATGAAACCAAAACTTTATAAAAATTAAAGTTTTATTCCCACTTAATAAAGCCCTGGTTTATAAAGTTATGTTAACATATGAACTTATTTATTGTACAAACTTTTATAAGTATTCCTACTACCACTTTTATTATTTTATTTATATATACATATATGCTTTAGGACTGAAGGCCTCTCTCCAAAATGGAAAAATATAATCATGTTTTATAGAAAACAAATTAAAAACTATCTCTTAAAGTATTATTGTTCGCCCAATTACATTTAATAGGACTTCAAGAATTACTTAAACACCATGTCATATTTCTTTCTTTCTTTTTTTTTTTCAAATTAATTATCGTTATATATATATATATATATATATGAAAAAAAAAGCTTTCGGACTGAAGCTCCTACCCAAAATTAAAACCTGGATCCGTCAGTGACGTCACGTAGCGTTGAATTAACTCCAGAAAGCTGAATGTATCTGTGAACATTGTTTCAATCTCGGAATTCTTTTTTTTTTTTTTTTTCTGAAAATTGATTTACGTTTTCATATTTCATAATTTTTTTTTTCCATTCATTCCTCCATTTATTTCAGAAAATGACAATATACCTTTCTTGTTGACCTCCATAAAATTAAAATTTTGCATCAACGAGGTCGTACAATCTGTGAAATTCAAAAAGAAGTTATAAGTTTTATTTCTGGAATTCATTATGCCCTCGAAAAAAAAAAAAAAAAAACAACAAGAAAACAGGAGACTTGAAACAATTAAAAAACTGAGCTCTGCTGTTTACGCAATCGCAAAAACAATGCTACAGAAAATTTGATCCAAATTTCATCTTTCAATAAATACTGTATTTAAAATATGCCTATTTGTATTACTACATGTGAATGACTTATCAGTCATTAAATAAGGGAAAATTAAAACATTGACTCACCTTCCGAAAAATCGTTGCAGATTTTTGTAGATGTAGATTTTAGACAAAAAATTCTAATTTTGAAATAGGTAGATCATACACTTTTTTAAAATTTCTTCAATTAACAAGAAAATATTGTCCAAAATTCAGTCCCAAAAACTACTCAAGGATCAGGCCGTGAAGAAGAGACAACTAAAACTGTTTAATTCAAGTAAAAGCTACCATTTTCTAATTCAGAATATAAATTAAAATATTAAAAAAAATATATATTTACTAAGGACAGAGGGGGTATTTTTTTTTCAATAACAGTTAAGAATCTCTGAAAGGGAAGAGAGAATGAAAAAAAAACTTTTACCCAGGAACCTATTTCCAACACGTATAATGAATTTGCAAAAATTAATATTTAGATGAATCACACGCCAATTAACTTAAATTGCCATTTAAAAAATAAAATCACCTGTTGAGGTCATCCGCGTACTAAAGATAGTTGAAATATGAATATGTTAATTTAATTGCTGAACTGATTGAAGGTTGAAGTTATACCTACCAGTCTAACTCTAGTAAACAAGTATCTTATTCTTACTATTATAAATAATTTATGAATTTCTGTAGTTCTATATTATATAATTAAATATTTTATTTGTTAGGACCCCGTTTTGCATTTTAAATTAAATTTCAATTTACTATGACTTCTCGCATTAGGTGAAAGGAATAAACTTAGAAATTTATAAGATATATTATATATATCTTATATTATACTATAAATGTTATAAAATATAATACATGAAATATATCAATTTAAAAAGAAAAAAAATATAGAACGCCCTAACTAATCTGTATTATATTAAAAGTAGAGCTCAGATTTTTTTAGCACTTTAAAAAGAATAATAATGTTAATAAAATATATAATTTCTAGGAAAATTGCTTTATTTGACCCTTACACCTCTAATCCATGCTTCAATTCATTTTAATTTTCTCGACCACATTTCAGGCAACTTTATCCATTTTCAAGTCGAAATATTTATGATATAAATTGGATTTGAAACGTTTAGGGACTTGAACAACATCTGGATTAAGCGCCTTAAGACTTCATAGATATAAGGGTTTGTGTCTTCTATTTTCCATAATATCACTAAAATGCTTTATTACAGTGGGCATAAGGCTATTGTATAAAAAGGACGAAAATGTGTAACATTGGATGTAATTTAAAAAAAATGTTTAATTTTTTGACGGCCCAAAGGTAATTAATAAAATAAATGGACTTTTCATAAATGAGTTATGAAATTAATATTAGAAGAATGTGAGAAGAAAAAAGAAAAAAATTACAACAGTTATATAAAAAATAATATTACATAGATGATAGGATAATATAATTATTTATATATAAATATTTAAATATAAACATATAAATATTTCGATCTGAAAATGGGCAAAACTGCCTGAAATGTCGTCGAAAAAATTAAAATGAATTGAAGAATGGAATAGAGGTGTAAGGGTGAAATAAAGCAATTTTCATCGAAATTATAATTTTTATTAATTATATATGCCCTCAAAAATTTAGAAGATTTAATAAAAAAAAATAATATATTCAAATTTTCGGACGAATATAAAAATAATTTTTTTTACGTATAATTGCGTCGAGCTAAGACCATTATAAGTTTTTTATATAGTACAGTAGTGTTAGACATTCCTGGGCACATCCGGCCTCTGTAAGGTGGTACCTTAATTAAAATATCGATTAAGGGGGAAAACTTGGAGGTTGAGCGTGATCTCGGTCAAATCATCTCCTTGTACAACCGTTGACTAAGAAACGGTACTTTCCCTAAATAGTACTGAACCCAAGACCCTTCATAGGTTGTAGTGGTACAGGTGTTTTTTTTTTTTTTACTAGTGTTTACAATTTAAGGGAATACATTGTTGGTTCTTACTTGTAGACTTTTTTTTTGTAATATATTTCATAAAAATTCAAAGGAATTTACAAATTTGAAATGTTGAGAAGATTTCGCTCGAGAATTTTATGTTATATGCAAAAATTTTTTTTTAAATGCCAGCTGGGAGTGAACTTAAGATTATGCACTTTATCTGCACACCGCAAAATATTTGCTTATAACAATAATTTATTTATAGACTAGTTGAGGATCGTTTTAAATTTTATCGAAAAAGGTTTAGAAGTACAGGCAGAATGAGGACAGATTCAGACTAAAAAAAAATACAAAAAAAAAAAAAAAATAAAAGAAAGAGGGTTCTCCTAAACAGGTAAGAATAAGTGAATATCTGAAAAAATACATGACCGATAAGCATATTTTCTCTGCTATAGGTAGTTTAGACAGAATAATAGTGAAGTTTAAAAAAATATATACCTTCGCTATAAAGTGCTTTATGCAGCAACATTCCTATCGCTGTCTACAGAATAACCTCTACAAAGAGTTGAATAAATTCCATAAATAGGAAAACCCAATGAAAACGCCTGGTCTGAACTGACAACGGAATTCGTTTACGTTTTATTTATTTCAATATGAAACTTTTGTTAGTAAGCTATTGCATGACTGGAATAGGTTTTAACGTCCTATTTATCAAAGGAAAAAAAAAAAAATATATATATATATATTTATGAATTATGTATATGTACAAAATCGTAACATGATTATATGGCATTCATAAAACGAGTGTTGAAGATTCTTCACAGCACTGATTATTAGGATAGTAAAGAGATGACTTATCCTAAAATTTCATTAAACTACTACAAAACATAAATAAAAAAATAAAAGTTTAGAGCATAGCTTTTTTATCTAGATTTTTTTTTGTTTATTAACAAACTAATAAAATAATTATCTTGGAAATGAAATACAATAAAAAAAAATACATCTAGTAAATTCGTACATTGGATATTAAAAAACATGTTGAGAAACTACCCACTGGTAGCACTCTAATAATATGTTTACATTAGGAGATCACGGGGTCATCTTCTTTTCAGACGTCCCGGGGCGTTATCGGGAATTGAGGAAGAAAGCTAGATTAGAAACAAGAGGGTTGGTATGGTTATGAAGTTTATTATGGAAGGATAGATATCTGAATTGGCTAGTTAATAATAAAAAAAAAAAATTCTTTTTTAATCTAAAAGGTGGATAGGTAGAAATTTATTTGAAACATTTTAATTAATGAATATCTAAAGTAAAAAAAAAATGCGTCCATAAGGAAAAAGCATGAGTCTAATAGTCCGTAACTTGTAATTTTTTTATCTACGAAAATATACAGAAATGGGGGCGTTTTCTCATTAAATTAATTTAATGAGGTACTAAAAACTCATATATAATCGTATAATTTGATCACAAAATCGCGAAAAAAATGTGGCCTACAAAAATATCGACCTGTTTGGGGTGAAGATCATGCCAAACGGCCCAATATTTATGTAGACCACCAATTTTCTCCATTTTGTGATCAAATTATCTTACGATTGAAGTGAAAAGCGAATTT